TGTACAGTTTGACTGGATAAATATCACAATTTACAGCATTAATCAAAATTGTCTCTTCCGACCCCTCCTACAGCTTCGTTCCACTGTGCGGAGAGACAACGAATGGGAGGGGGGGGGAGCTCCCGGCTCGGTGCGCGGAATGCGGAATGGTCGGAGACAAAAGGGCCCTGAAAAATTTAAACATTCCCCGACAAAGTCGCGATAATGAGCCGAGCGTTAATAAAGCGGCATATCCGCCCCCTGGAGGGGGGGGGGGGCAGTGAAAGTATAACATAACGACCGCATTATTGTTCGCCCGGCCGGGGATCGTGTCATGTCCACGTCCGTACTCACCCGTACACACACGGGGCCCCTGTTCTACTCGGTTTCTATGATTCTAGGAGGAGTGCCGGGAATTCTGCCTCGCCGGGCTGAAACCGCGGATGTGCGCGGGGTTCCCGGGCGGAGTTGCGCGGTTCTCGGCGGGGTGGGGTCGGATCGGGATGAGAAACTGAGAAAGCCCCGTGTGATTATGAACGAAATGAAAGGAGAAACTTCTGGTATCTCTCCGTCCGGTAGCCACCTGCCCGGCCGGTCTTACATATGCTCACTCTCAATTTCACTCGTTTCCACCAGAACTAGACATTCGAGTGAGAGAGAGATAGAGAGAGGGGCCGGTGTAGTGATCTAATACAAGTTTTTGATGAATCGGTAATCCCACACAAAAATAACCTCAAACTCTTTGAAAGTAATGACGATTAAACTCCCTACTCTGGTAAAGTAAGTATATTTCCTGATGAGCTGTAGACCGCATGATCACACGACTGGAGTATATTTTCCAATGAGAAACTACTTTTTTCGGCTCTGAGTGAAAACAATTTTTGTACAATTTGTTTCCCCGTACAAATGGATGTTTTTCTAGATGAGCCAGGAATATTAGTTTCTTGTTGCAAAATGTGCTGCATTTCAAGCCTTAGGTAGGTAGATATCAAAAGAGAGACATTTTCCCTTTATAGAAATGTGAACTTGATCGTAGGTAAGTCAAATATTTGTAATTAAGAAGAACCTAAAAAGCTACTGGAATGTATAAAAATTAACCTAATGTGATGAAACATTGGTAATGGTACATACTGTGTATTGAAGTTCAAATCCCTGAAAACCGTACGTAAAAGGGTGCAATCTGAAGAAATGGACTGGAAAACTCACCTGAAATCAAACGATAAAATGTTGATTAGAGAAAATACGACAAAAAACAATAAAAAAAAGAGCTGAACAAACATGCTCATGATGCTTCCATGAGGTCTCTCACGAGGCTCAAAATAAAAGTAAAACACACTTCACTACCGTGTGGAAAATATTTTTTACCCAATTTAATATACTTAATTCAATCGAGTGGATCCTCCAGGACCATACTTTCGCACCCTATTAAGGTATACTTTACTCCGCGTGGACTTACTCTCACTCCGGCTACACCACCGTGCTTAAGAAAATCGTCGTATGCACATTCAACTGTTGCCAAGTCTCTCATAATAAAACACAAATCCTTGACAAAAGTTGCGAATATCTCTCCTTGAACTTTGCACAGACTTAAGATCGAAATGCGAAAAAAATGCCCTTGAAAATTGTAGCATAGTTTTTCAAAATATTCTAGTTGATCACAGGAAATTTGGCAACGTCCAAGGGTTTATACGGCGTTCTTCCCTAGCAAGGTAGTGGAGCGCGCAGGTGTAGAGGACGATGCCGGGGTCCCGAAGTCGTGTGTTATCTGGGATCTGGCGGGCTAGCGAGCGGTGGCCTTGGACGGTGGCCGCTCCGATTTATCGGGGAATTACGTAACGCCGTAACGCGGCTTAACGCCGGCCGGGCGCATCCAGACGGAACATCCCGGGATGTGCATGTGGAATCGTGCAGCCCGCGCGCATGGAGTCGTCCTGCCGTGATAGTGACGAGAGCAGAAGAGCATTCCTGTGTGAGCCATGATTAGCATGTGCTTTTATGTGGCTCGAGGCTCATCCCAGCATGGACTTGCTGCTCTCTTCGCTATCACGGCAGCATCGTGCTTGGCCGCGGCCACGCTGCACGGACGCCGACTTGACCGACCGGCGCGCATCACCCGGGATCGTCGGTCGTGTCTGCCGACTGCGTCTGCGAACGCACCGGGATTCCGCAGAAACGACTCGTAACCGACGACGGAGATGAACCAATGGCGAGACGTGATGTTCGACGATCGATATAATCCCCTCTTGAAGCTATGGGAATGAATCGATTATTAAGGTGTCCGTTGCGAGGGCCTTGACGATCGATCTTTTTTCATAGGTTTGAATGGCATATCAATCGATACATTGCACAGCACGTCACGCCGATGAATGAACAGGTTATTCGTAGAAGGATGTATAACCGCTTTGAATTTATCTCTTCGGCAGTTCGGATGGAACAATACAATTTTAGATTTGAACTTGGTAAAGGTTCAGTTACACGATCGAATTGAGCCATCAAGCTGAAGCTCTGATTGGTGGAAAAAGACCTCAGGTGAGGATGCGACCAATGAGAGGCCCAATTTGATGGCTCAATTTGATCGTGTAACTGAACCTCAATGAATAAATTCCTACAAATACAATTTTCGGTCCTGATTGTTGAAACAGATGGCCAACGCGATAGATTATAGCTCATTGAAAAATGCTTTCACCCTCAGAAGAATAGTATTCCGTCGAGAGTTCAATTTCTGAAAATTTAGCTATTATGCTCTTCTTCAAATCGTCGCCAACCTGACATAAGGGCGTAACGACACTCTACAATGAACCTTGCTGTCCATAGAATGTAATGCTCTCCAGGCACGTCTCACTATGTAGTTACGCCCTTTTGTCAGCCGAGCGAGGAAATAACCCGCTCAAACGCGTCCATCGCATCGGTATTGGCGACTCACAATCAGATTAGGCCGAAAATCGCGCTGTGCGGCCACCGCGGTTCGGGCCGGGGGGATGCGCACATTCGGCCTAATCTGACGCGGCCCGGATCCGACCGGATATGCCTGAAAAGCGTGAAGGCGACCAGTGCCAAGCGGCTGGCCATCGATGTCAATTTCAGGCCAAATCGAGGGAATCGTGGACTGCAAGTCATCCCTCGACTTCACGATTAAAAAGACCCACTAACTCGCCACCGACGTGACGTGAGGCATCTTTTCACTTGGATTAAACGTTCGAACGAATCGGTGACTAAAGAGGAGATTTAATTAAAATATGGGTAAACAAGGCTAAAAAATGATTAAAACACTAAAAGGCTAAAAAAAAACTGCCTTTTAGTGTTTTAATCATTTTTTAGCCTTGCTTACCCATAATTTAATTAAATCTCCTCTTTAATCGTATATTCGGACTATATTTTTGTGCTTTATCCAATCGTTGACTTGAGTTGATTCGAAGGGACTCTATGTTCTAGAGACCCTGCGCTGACAATCTTAGAAGAAATCAAGTTACTGATGATTGATGAGCAATTTGTTGGGAAAGAAATTTGCAAAAATCGCCAAATGATGACTGACGAATTTCTGGGTGAGCACTTTGCTACGAGAGTTTCTGAAAACTAGATAGATTGATAATTGATCAATTAGTTGCTCAACTTTAGGTTAAGGATCATCATTCGGCTAACTGTCGTTTCCCCTATGAAAGATGTACTTAAAATTCGATTTTGCAGAATTCACCTTTAGATATTGCATTTTTGCCAGGAGCGTATTGGGCATTTCCGGCTAAAGATGTTTTGAATTTTCTTCTAGGTAATCTCATGCAAAACACAGACAGTTTTCGGACGCAAATTGAACAGGTATATTCTGGTGAAATCTTAGTGTTGTTGACTGCCGAAGTAACTTTTGCACGAAAGGAAATGTGAGAGCGCAAGATCTTCAAAATATGCTGTCTCTGGATATGCATAATAAAAATATGAGTGCATTTTTATCACGAATCAATCAATGAGGTATTCTTCTTGGACCCTAAGGAAGCAATACATTCTCAAACTTTTACTACCGGAAAATCCGTGAAAAATAAGAAGTCCCGGCGAGTATTACGGCGTGCCCATAGAGTACAATAGAGTCGCAAAGTACTGGAGCGCCGATGAAGCCAATCCATTAACAGGCGTTTCCGAGCCGCGTGTGCTCCGAAAATAGTGAACCATTTGCGAACCCAACGGCATTTTGTAACACGGCGGCTTATGGAGAAATCAAGAATTGCTTGTGTTTTTTAGGTATTTTATAATTCGATCAGCATTAATTTTTGCAAATTTTGCTATTTAAAGGTAGTCAAAGCCATAATGAATCCATTGATGTATATTACTCCTGGATAATATTCATATTGGGATTTAATTTCTGACTTATACCAAGTGTGAACCAACCGGAATTTTTTAACACGGTGGCTTATGGAGAAATCAAGGACTGCTTGTATTTTTTCGACTTTTTTTAATTCCATCGGTATTAATTTGTACAAATTTTGCTTTAAATAGATATCCAAAGCCATAATGAATCCATTAATGTAAGTTACTCCTGGATAATATTCATTTATGGACTCAATTTCAGACTTATTACCGGCCTACTTGGCTGGGTTCAATGTGTGTGGACCTAGCCGACGAACGGAGCCGAGTCGGGAGTGGGGAGGTGGGGAGCGCTGAGCGCGAGATGCGTCGTCGCTAGTCGCCGCACACTAGTCTCCGGAGAACTGGACAAAACAGCCTCGAAAAGTGACTTCAACGGCGATCCAGTACTTTGCGACTCTATTGTACTCTATGTTTTAGATACGAGCACTCCGTCTTTATCATAGAGAAAAAAAAGGAGGTGTTTGCATTTCGGGCATCTTGGAATTTTTTGATGACTTGATGACGTAGGTGGGTACAGTGTGAAGGGGACGTCCCTGTACCCAGCTGTACCCACCTACGTCATCAAGTCATCAAAATACTCCAAGATGCCCGAAATGCAAACACCTCCTTTTTTTTCTCTATGCGTCTTTATGTCTTTGCTTCAGACTGAACCTCTTCTTATCAGTTGTTATCACCAAGTTATCACTCATTTTATGCTTGAAAGAGTTTCATCATACTGTATCTTTGAATTAATGATTTTGTCTCACAAATTTTCAGTGCTGTGCAACGTACGAATTTTGTTCCGTTCATCGTGCTTTCGGGAACTTTTTTCCAATGGCTACAGTTAACATTACACAGCATTATCCTGGAGCTGCAGATAGAAATAAGGAGCCAATTTTGGGAGTCTTAAAAAAATTCTTGACCCAAGATAGTGAGGGAAATAAGCAGTGTTTGGAAGTATCCTCAGGATGTGGATTCCACGTATCATACTTTTCAAAACATATCCCATTCGTGACATTCCAGCCTACAGAATTTGAAACTTATCAACTTCCAATCATCTCATCTTTTATTGCTGATTGCCCAAATGTCCTGCCGCCAAAATATTTGGATGCATCTCAAGATCACTCTACATGGGCCGATGGAACTATCAAACCTGGAAGCCTTGATTATGTTATCAATATCAACATGATGCACATATCTCCGTATCCAGCAACTATTGGTGAGTAGGTTTTGAAGTTAAACTTCATTGGAGTTCATGTTCATTACTGTCATCAGACTGTTCAACAACCTTCCCTTGAACCTGAGAAAAGCTCTTCTGAAATGGGAAGTAAGAGAGTTCATGGCTGGTCTAAAAGCCTTACTAGTTGGCAAGGCTTTTTATTCCTTAAATGATTTTTTTAATAATATTTAACTGTAATTTACTACACCTTTTATTTTATTTTGTAAAATTTTGTAATATTCTTAATGCTTCCCTGTGTTCTTACGTACCTATATTATATTAATGTGTAATATTTAGGGGAGGGGGGTGGGTTGACAAGTATTATAGCCACAACGTGTGGCATTTATGTACATGAATTATAAATAAATAAATAAATGTTCCCTCAGCTTTCATTCCTATTTAGGAAAAATATATTTTTAACTGTGCATTGTCCATTCATTTATAGTAGAATATATGAATAACTAGCAATTTTGGATGGATACGCCAAGCTGCAATGCTGTGGAAAGTTCAGGAACACCGAAAGGGTTAACTGCATCAACCGTATTTTTATGGATTGAGAGAGAGAACTTGAACTTGAACTTGAATAACTTGCTCCGAGGACTCTGCTCCTGCTAATGCTAAATCTTGCTATAACAACTGGATGTACCACAGTCTATTAATTTGGCACAGAGACTCTGCAAAACTCCTGGTTATCCTGAAGTAGTTGTCATGTGACATCATATTTCAGGGTTTCTCTTTGGCCCCTCTGAAAGTTCACAGATACATTTTTATGGAAATACCTATTATGTTACAAAATTATTCATTACCTTCCCATTTCTTCTTTGAAATATATATTTCCTAAATTTTCTGTAACTTTAAGTTAAAAAAAAAATCCCTTAACAATTACTTTTACTTCATGCCATTTCCTTTTAGACCATTTTCAAATTCTAATTTTGGTTTTCCCTCTGATTTCTTTTTTTAACAGGGTTATTCAAAGGCTGTGGTGCTGTTTTGAAGCCGGGTGGACTTCTCATCACGTACGGTCCTTACGCTGACAATGGTATTTTAACTCCTGAGAGCAACGTTCGTTTCAATGCAATGTTGAAACGTGAAAGTCCAGATTGGGGTATAAGGGACATCTCTCTGCAACTCATTCCCCTCGCATCTACTCATGGATTACAGCTCATTCACAAAGAAGATTTACCAGCAAATAATAAGTGTCTAGTTTGGAAGAAGTCCTAGAAATATGCCATTGCGGAAGAACTGCTTGTGGTATTTTGAAATTTCCATTAATTTTAATTTTTATTCCTAGGCAGCAGAATTTTCTATCAAATGTCAGATACTTTATTTTTGTTGAATTTAATGTAAGAAGCTTGAAAGGAAAAGAAATCATTCTTGCACAGTTTTGAGAATGAAGCATTACTTAATCATTTTTTTCCCTTTTAAAAAAAATTGTATTGTAAATTCAAGAATTTTTAACATTGCTATTTCAGCATTTTGTTCGTTAATCACTAAACATGAAAATATATTGTTGTAGATGAATTATAATTTTCAGAATGTAACATTGTGATATTTATCTCCCATTCAGTTAGGTATAGTCTGTATATTTTTTTAAAAAAAAAAAAAAAAAGTTACTTCTGATGTACAACATTTGTTTGCATTTGTTCTAATAATCAAGCGTAGGATAACTTAGTAAAGGAAATTTTTCCCTGATTAGGTTTATCCCACAATATCTCAATAATTTAAATCAATTTTTGAATCAAACTTTCTGTTGTGAAAAGTTTGACTTTAATTTGTCACTATTACAAAAAAAATATGGGACATGCCCCCCTTCCCCCACCGCTCATTGCAGCAGTTAGCTTCTTTTTAGAGTATCTCATATTTACACTGAACGCGAAAATATATGGTGCAGCCAACCCAAGTTGTTTATTGGTAGGATTTAGCTACGTACATAGCATACTGACGTATATTTTTTTGTTTATGCAATTTCCTTTCTCCAGCTTAGTACCTACGTAAGTTATTTCGTCATTGCGCTCAATTGAATCGTAAATGTTATTTCAAACCTCCCTTCATTGGCGCTACTTGTTACAGCGGCACAGGTTGGGTCACTCACAAAACTTGTCTTCATTCCTACCTCCTTTTTCGTATTCTCTTTATGCCGTTCATGCGACGTTTCTTATTTATATCTGAGACTTTATAATGACCTTAAGCTTGATAAAGTATGTGATTAACTACAGTTTTCTTGAGTTTAGCAGCAATCTTTATTGTTTAGGCTAAATCAAAATTAAGTTCAATGTAGTGAAGTTTCAAGTGAAAGTTTAGTGGCAGCCTGGTTTAAGTTTTTAACCTAACCTAACCTTGATTCGGCCATGGCCGTGACCATGACATAAACACAAATATTTCGTTCGATTTTTCCTTTGTGACCTCCTCATCTAGACCCAGACGCAGGTTATTTTTTCCGATTTTAGTGTCGCTGGAAGTTTTGAGTGACGCGCTACATTACGATGACATTCTTACGGACGTAGTCTGCTGTGCAATAAGTGCAGCCCCCACCCACAGTATTATCTTATCAGTCCACTTAACTCAACTTTTCGGGCACTCATATCATTGAAGCAGAAGTGTAGGAATCAAATTTGAAATGTTTAAGAAATGACAGTGACTCGTATTTTTAGTGATTTTCAAACATCAGTGATTATTATTTTATGATGCACTAAATCTATGTAGCCATTACGATGACCCTTTTCTCTCCGCTGAATTTCAAGCCTTCGAGTGTCAAACACCTTTATCAGTTGTCCTCTATAGTTCCTGCTCCTTCTTTATTTTCCTATTGTTTAGAAAATGTTTTAAGGACAAACCCTGATTCATTTCTGAGATGCTTTTGTGCGGGGCCGATAGCAGTGTACGACTCGAAAGTGAATGAGAAAGAAATTGAATATAATGAGCAACAGAAAAAAGTGGCGACATCATTACAAAGAGTGTATGAAGAAATTCAAAGTTACTCACCTCCCAAGAAGGGCTTCTTCTCAAAGATTTTCAAGGAGAAAAGCAGAGCTCCGCAAGGGGTCTACTTGTATGGCGCAGTAGGAGGAGGAAAAACTATGTTGATGGATCTATTCTACTCTTGTGTCAAGGTATTAAAGCCTCATACAATCTTTTCCATCCTACAGTCAGTGCCAAAATTACTAAATTGCTGTTTGGTGCTAGCAAAAATTTGCCCCCTCTGGATATGCTTATTGATTTTGAACTGTTCTTTATATCTAGTTCAACAAAAGCAGTTTGTAGGAGGCAAATTTTCCTGGGGAGTATACTTTTAAAAAATCTAAATAAATTCTGTTAAAAGTAATGAGTTGGCAGTTCTTAACTTCCAACTGTTTGCGCTGCAGCCCACATGGCGGCGGCAGCAACAGTAGTCAATCCTCAATTGCTATTGGACGACAGCTGTGCAGTCGCTTGCGGATGGAAAGTATAAATTGCCAACTTATATAATTGGAACTTTTAATTGATAAAATTTGTCCTAAACAAAGGTCAAATCAAAATTATGCGAGGGGAAAGGAAGCATTGCTCCTCTAGTTTCTCCAAATGATACCGCCAGATAAAGAGCCTTTAAAAGGACTAGGGGAAAAGCAAGGTTTCACAATGATCTCTATTAATAACCGTAATTTGTAACCAATTAATTTCATGTACGTATCATTATTTAATTAATGCTACTGTCTTATTATTTGCATTGTTTCAGATGGAGAAGAAAAAAAGAATACACTTCAACGCTTTCATGGTGGATGTTCACAAACGTATTCATGAAGTCAAGAAAACGGTGGTCAAAGATCCCAGGGAAACCAAGCCAAAACCATTTGATCCAATCCGCCCAGTAGCTCTATCTATTAGTAAAGATGTTTGGTTGATTTGCTTTGATGAATTTCAGGTATACATTCAATTACCTAGTATCTATTATTTTTCTGTGTTATCAATTTAAAAGGGCACCTCTGTGGCAGCCACCAAATTAATTCACCATACCCATTGAGATGTAGATGACACTAAAGATTAATTAGCCTCTGGTACAGAAAATGTGTACTTCAAAATAATGAAACAACTGGACCATGTTAAGCAGAAAGGAACTAAGCCACATCAGCCATTGTCTTTAATTTGGAAATTTATTTTTTTACATGAAAATGGTTGTTCGTATTTTTTTGTGCAAATTTCTGTAAATTTTCTGCATGATACGAATCAAATTCCTTAAAAATTTCAAGAAAATCTGCACCAACGTTCTCTTGTAAAAAATTAAATTGGTCAGTTAAATTTGGCAACAACTGATGTGCCTCAGTTCCTTTGTATTAAACGGGGTTCAATTAGTTCGAGGCTTTCAGTTTAAAAACTTTAATGTTGAGAAGAAGCTGTCTAAGTTTTAATCTATTCCGTTCTTTGCATAGAATCATCTTATTCTAATACAATCATATGTCTTTCTTTGGCAAAAAAATTAACTGAATTACTGGAAACTCATTTTTGAGATACTAGTAAGTTTTCGGCCAAAAACTCAATTTTGATTTTCAGCCGAACTTCACGAAAATCATTCACCCTAAAATTGCGCCCCCCCTCCCTCCCCCCCCCTAAAGAAAAATAATTTTTTTGATTAAAAATCACAATATTGGTTCATGTTCTTTATCAAACCGAGTGTTCTCTATAGATTTTGCTTGAAATTCGAGTCCTGACATTCAAATTTAACTTTTTTACATTTTATAGGTGACAGACATTGGTGATGCTATGATTCTGAAACGGTTGTTCACAGAGCTGTTTGATAATGGGGTTGTGATGATTGCCACCAGCAATAGACCACCAGACGATTTGTATAAAAATGGTCTTCAACGCTCAAATTTTGTTCCTTTCATCCAAGTACTTAAAGATCATTGTGAAGTGGTCAGTTTAGACTCAGGTGTTGATTACCGTAGACGAACTTTGGCAGGCGCTGGCAAGCATTATTTTGTGTAAGTTAGCTGTATGAAAGTATTTAATTCTCCTGATTTATGCTAATGAAGAGTGTGAGGCCTTTAATTTTGCAACTTCGTAAACTGCCTGTAGAGTCATAACATTCATTTTTAAAAAGTTTTTTTTTTATTTGGTATTTATTCTCCTTCCAAAAGAAATTATAGTAAGTTAAAATGCTGTCTACAGTTCTATCATGGAAGTAATCACCCAGTGCCTTAAGGTCACGGCAGAGACCTATGACACGGAATTGACATATCCATCAATTTACCGGATCTCTGGCAGAAATTTTGGGCACGCGCAAAAGTAGTTCCTCTTGGCCTAGGAACAGTCCCTAAATTTAGAATCCCCAGCATTTTTTGTTCATAAAATATGAGGAGGAGCCCAGACTCTTGGATAAGCTGCCATTTTGTTAAAAATCGAGATATCGACAATCAGTTTTCGCCAAAAATGTTGTTTTTAAGCCCTTTCAAATGATGGATCACAAGATAGGGGTTCCCATTTGAAAAAAAAAATGTTAGGGTCTGCCGCTCCTCAGGGGGGCCGCCCCCCCCCAAATTTTGGTTACGCCAAAAAGTAGTTCCCTTTGACCTGAGAACATTCCCCAAATTTCAAATCTCTAGCATATTTTGTTCAAAAGTTATAAGGGGGGGGGGGTCCCGGACTTTTGGATAACCTAGTATAACTGGCTGTTACTTCACTTTCATTATGTTTTCTCTTTTTTACAGTAAAAATCAAGATGACGCAGAGAAAGCAGTAGAAAACATTTTCAAACAGTTAGTAGCCAACGAGAATGATATCATTCGACCAAAAACTTTAACGATATTGGGTCGTGATGTTGTTTTTCAGAAAGTCTGTGGTCAGATTTTAAATTCAACGTTTGCAGAACTCTGTGATAGAGTAAGTAGCATTTTTTTTAGATCTGTGCTTTTCTTGCTTAATTTCTTAGGGGGGTGGTTTGCATTAATTTTCGAAAATCTTGAACTGTGTGGGTACTCAAGTTATTCTTGTAATTTGTTGCATTGCATGCTTTGATAAAAACCAAACTGTGTGCCACTATTAGTATGTCGCGTTTCTTTTTTTTTTGCCCTCTTTATGGAGATTATTCTTAATGTTACATTTATACTTTTTTCAGCCGCTGGGGTCAAGTGATTACTGTATGTTAGCTCAAATTTTCCATACTGTGATTATAAATGATGTGCCTCAGCTGACGTTGAAAAACAAATCCTTAGTTAGGAGGTTTATCATGTTAATGGATACGCTCTATGACAATAGGGTAAGTATTATTTTTTTCAAAATGATAGCAGTACTCACGGTTTGCCTAGTCCTGGTGGAGCCTTAAGGTCTGGATGTTTTGCAACTCATCCTATCAAAATTTTTATCAAGACTCTCTGAACTACACTTGCGTCGTAAAGTTTTCTTTTTTTGTCAGAAAGAAAGAAACTAGCCAATTTTAGTGTCTAAGACTGTCTGCAGTTCGGTAACAGTAGCACCGATACCTGGTCAACAGGTTTGTATGCAGGTTGCATTGCAAAACTGCCATACCAAGAAAGAACATGGTATCAGCCTTCAGATGTTGCCGTGCACTGGCTTTGATGAAAATTCATGAAGTCTTTCTCCAGATTTTTCAGAGAAGTTTTTCAGTAATTTGACTAAAACATCGAAAATTTTGATTAAAAATTTGCATAACTTCCTTCAAAATTAACATTTTCTGAAAGGAAATTTGGCAACATTCGAGTGCCCTAAAAGCGTTTTTCCTTAGCACAGCAGAACAGAATGAGATGCAAGTTCCTGAGAACAGACTGTGTGGTTTGCCAGTCTGCTTTTTTCCTTCAAAATGTAATTGACTTTGCAAAATAAAGTTAATCTTCAGTTTTTCTTTCGTTGCGTTTTAACCAGGGAATCTGAAAGTTCCTAGTAGAATTTCGAGCAATTGACTTGGAAACAGTAAAGATTTAAAATACCAACCAACATCATCAAACGAAATCTGGCATTTTACTTGTCATCTACTCTTCCTCTATTGTCTGAGGTCCATCTGGGAAAATATCTTTGTAGTGTTAGATTGCAACATGTTGATTTTGAAAATGAAGGGTTCTGAGTGTCAAAAGATGGGAAACATTTTGATTTGCCAATTTTCGATTCTCCAAAACATATCTTAAGTTCTCTTTCATTACAGGTGCGTGTTGTGATTACTGCTGATATACCTTTGGATCAATTGTTCCTAATGAAAAAATCTGATGGTATTGGTGACCATGACCGAGTTCTTATGGATGATCTAAATATTTCATCAGAATCCGTAAGTTACCCCACATGATTCTCCTCAGAAAGTTAACGCAAAAGTTGCCCTCTTTTGACTTTGTTGGCCAATCAATGAAGCATCATATTTCACTTTAAAATTTGAGCTTCGGTAATAGAGGTCAAATTTTCATCTGTGTCTGCCAGACTGTGTTAGGAACCTTACCATCCTTTCAGTTTTAAGTGTGTATTTAGCAGTTTTTAATTCATTTTAAAATTCTCACAAATTTTTTCCATCATCTACCTCTATGAATCTCTGTTTACCATTTTATTTCTTCTCTTTTTTTCTAGGAAAATGCCGTAGCCAGTATTTTTACCGGTGATGAAGAAATGTTTGCTTTTGACCGCACAGTGTCAAGACTGATAGAAATGCAGAGCGAAGAATATTGGAATCAATGGGACAAGCAGCGCTGAGAACTAACATCTCTTGTTAATCATGTAATTTGCCCTCCAAAAAATATTTATGATATTAAGTTCAGGGGCTTCTCTAAATTTCTGTACATTTCTTCAGAGGTCTCTGAATAATGAACACACCCATCGTGATAGCATGAATTATGTTACTTAATTAGAAGTTTAATTAGGATTTTATTTAACAATCAGCCCTGTTATTCATTCAAATTTTATTTTATTATATTTGTTGTTACTTACGTGGGTTTTACCTTTATTTTTCTAATTTTGCCCTACACTACTTTGGTGTATAGAAATCTCTTACCAAAAGAAAGACGTCCCGACTCTCCTACCCAATGACAGTAACTACACAAATAAAGAAAGAAAAAAACTAAAACGGTTAACCAGCTGTGTATGGGTTTTTCGAAAGTCTATACGATGCTATTTAGCCAGAAACAAAACTGGAGAAATTTAAAAGAGAAACATAGATTTACAAATCAATTTATTTTTCCTTAAGCATTTTTAAAAATCCCCAGGTTGAAATTAACATCTACAATGAAAAAATACAAAAAAAAAGAAACTTCACAACAATAATACTGTCGAAGCTTAATACAACAAGGAAAACTGAAGGATTAATCCTTCAATTTAAAACTCAATTTTTACATTTCTTGCAGTTTTGAAAAAACATCCTTAAAAACTCGAATGGTGCTAGTTACCAGGTTCAGGACCTGGTTTGATTTCTGGGGAGGGGTTTTGTTAGTAATAATTCTTTTCGAAGCTAGCTTCCTCTTCTTAAAAAGTACATTGATTATACATCACAGCTACCAATGATAGTAGAGACTGATTGGTTAGGGCAGAATTCTACCGTGCTGAAGAAAAACGCAGTGGGAACATTCGAATAATGCCAAATTTCTCCCATTATTTTGGAGAAAAGTTAAGCATATTTTTCTTCGACATTTTCAGATATTCTGAATTAAGTTGCAAACAAAATTTTCTGGGAAATTTGAAGAAAAATATTTACAACTTTCTTAATAAATTCGTATTTTATTAGAGGACATTTGGTAAAGCCTGGAGGTTTATGCAGCGATTTTTCCTTAGCATGGCAGCATCGAACCATAGGTAAAATTGTAAGAGATGAAAATCAAGCCTTCAAAGGTTGAGGTCAAACCAAAAATTCCGAACAACAATCATCCCTTTAAAAATTCAAAATGATCGTTGATCAGAGACAAAACCATAGATAATATAGAAAAACTTATCTTACTGCTTAGAACTAAATGTATCACAGGTTTGTACATACATTAAAAATACATTTTTTTTTAAAGGTAACGCACCTTGAGTTGGAGCAAATCCTTATACTTATATTTTAGCATACCTAAAGATGCAGCGAGGAACTATTTGAAAAAAATAGTTAACAAGACTGATTTCCTCAATTTTTAAATCAACAATTACAGATCTGGACATTTTCCTCAAAAAATCTAATGAGCAAAAAATGACCATAAAGAAAAAAAGAGGTGGTTGCATTTTCGATTCTGTCCATGACGTCGGAGGATACAGACCATTTTCTCCAAAATTTTATGGTTAAGGGAGAAAAGCCATGTTTCTAAAAATGTTTAAAATTGTATTTTGTATTGAGTTAAGCCAAAACAATAGATGTAACAGTTCGATTTTCATACTTCGGATTTTTTATTTCATCGAATTATTGACGCCATACTGTACTCATCTATGTCATGGTTTAGACAAATCAGATCGTATTAACTCCATTCTTCCTCTATTGAATAAAAACTCACCAGCATCAAGAGACAAAAAACTGCGCAGTAGGTGAAGAAGTTGGTCCAAGAAAAAGCTTTTTAGGGCCTAAGGACAATTACTTTGGGACACTGTGAGGGCCAAAATTGACATGGAGCTTTGTTGACATGGATGCAATGTTTATGGGAAAGATGGAAATGTTTAAGTTTACGAGTTGGTGTGTTTTCACATTTAAAGATTCAATTACTGTTGTGACAACTAGAGTCCCTTTATACCCAGAGTTAAGACAACTCGATTATCAGCTGACTGGCAGCCGGCCTTGGCTGGCCATGGAGGCCGAAACGAGTGCATCCAAACGAACGATATTGAGGGATAAGGATCAGGAATCCTGCGATGTCTGTCACACAAAAACAACAACATCAACAAATTGATCAATTAACAAGAAAATGAGATTGGTTTGTGAATAATTTCTTAATCTGTTTTCATTTTGGACCGATGGAAATAACAATTTACTCTTGATAAACCACAATTAGGTAATATTTTCATTATTCTTGTTCACATTTGAGGTACCGCCATCTTGGTGCACTCGTTTCGGCCTCCATGAGCGAGAACCAATCAGAATTGGATTTTTTTTTAGGCCACTTTCAGCCCAACCCTGGCCCAACCAAAAGTGAGTTGTCTTAACTCTGGGTATAAAGGGACTCTAGTGACAACGGCAGAGTGAGAGTTTCTAAACTTTATGATTTGGACCAAAAATGATCATTTTGTTCTTTTAACGGAAGTTGAAACCTAAAATACTAGGTACAGAACACTCAAAGAAATGTTGACACAATACCCTATCCTGGAGATGACAGTAAAGTTTCTAATAAGAAAATTGTTTGACAGGCGTTAACAATTTTCCAAATTTTGAATGGACCGAACTTTTTTCTTCAGTTTAGTTCCTATCCTCGCAACCCTCTATGGCATGGATTAATTTTGGATCTTGAATTCCGTGGGAGTCAAAGCGAATGTTTCAACCGATCATTTATCAATTTTTTAAATGTTGAAGGCTCTTTTCTTCTGACTGGTTACATTCTGAGACTTACAACACCTACATGGGACTGCACTTGCAGAGACTTACAGCTCTCCTGAACTAGTAGAGATTTCTTTGTTAAAGTTTGTGCAGAGAGATTTCACTGAGAGTCGCTTGAAGAGCTGCTGCTACTATCTGTAGACATCACTTCCACGTCTTCATTGTCTTTACTGTGATTCCTTGACTCCATAACAGCAATTTGTTGACCAGCAATAGCAGCATGCATTTCCCCGCTAGGCTGCCATGAAAACTGGTTTTGTTGTGATGCCGGAGGCTCTGAAAGAGTGAATTTTGGACTTGATGAAGTAATCCATGCATAAAAGTGGAGCATGACAGTCAACATAAGTTAGTGAAATTGGTAAATTCTCAAGATTGATGGACTCAGGTCAGCTTACTGGCAGGAAAATCTTTTGAATATTGTTATCTTGATTAAAAATTATCAATGGCCCAAAACAGCATTAATAAAAAAAGAAAAAAGAAGAATAAGAATTTGAAATTTGATGGATAAAAGTGAAGAAAGTGCATCTCCAATTCTCCGTACATTGCAATGTTTTAAAACTCCAAGTATGTTTTATTTTTTCACAGAATATAAACATCTGCTTGAAATTTTTCAAAGTTTCGAGCAGATGAAGAAAATATGCATACCCAGGGTTCATTATCTTTCAAAAAATAAACGAGATGAGATGAAATTTTCGATGTCAAAATTGTGAATCGGCTTGTGCAAAAATCATTAAGTCTTTTCTTTTATCTTTTGGAACTTTGGTATTCAAGACTTATTGTTAGTCTAAAGAATCAGGCTTTGGGGTTTGGTGGTGGATATACAGGGTTTTTAAGTTAAAGTTTGGACACTATTTAATCTACGATAAAAAGGCTTGCACAATATTTTAAACTTTTCTCAAAACAGAAAAAATCGAAACTAGCTGGTTTGCAAAAGCTGATTCAATTAGAGACATTTAAGCGGTTTTTTACTAAACCATGAATTGGTATGTATAATTCATAAAAATTACCTGCTTGGTGACCTGATCGATGAATATCTCCCAGGTTTCCTTGTTGAAGCATCTGACTATTGATTGGAAGATCACTCAGGCGTCCTAAGAATCCCATTCGCATTTCTATATCTGTGTGAGTAGAAAAGTAAATAATTCTTTAATTCGTACCTCTAGGTGTGGTTGACTTACATAAATTGTGCATATCTTGTTAGGTAATTGTTTAATTTAATAAGCAATGGTAAGAGGAAGTCATGTAATCAAAGATGTATGATAGTTAAATCTTACAGATTTGCAAAACAAAATTCAATCTTTCAAAACGTCAAATCTCTACAATGAAAAATAACTTTAGCTCTATAAGATTAAAGAATCAAAATACACTAAGTCAGTTGTACTGCAGTTAAAGTTCTAATTTCACAGTTTAAACTTATGGATTGGAAAAAATAATAGGGTCTTTTCAGTTGATAACTTACGATATTAAAAAATGATAATCAAGCTGTAACCTTTCAAAAAAGAGGGTTTGAATAAAATTGAAACACGGCCACCTCATCTCCTGAACTAAGAATCCATGTTGGAGTGAGATCCCTTTTTCTAACTGTCTGACTGAGGGAAGAACTGCTGAAGGGTTTGAAAATACTTATTAAAAGGGGAGGGGGGGTTAAAAAATCTGACAACAATGATGAAGTTCTACATTTCTTTAGCAAATTATTCATGTCACACATTTGAGAGTAAAAATTGATGCAATCATAATTCAATGAAAAATGCCTTTCCTGAAATGCTGGTAATCAGAATTGCAGAAGGTTTTGTGTGAAGCAGAAATCACTCAAAACATCTTCGTATTTAACAGGTTGAAAGAACAGTACTTAAGCGAGATTCAAAAATAGAAAAAGAGATGGGACAATACAAATTAATAAACAGTGAGAGAGTAGTACCTGTTGGGTAAGGTCTCCGAGGATCACCAGGTTGCCAGGTCAAGGGAGCACAAACAGCATTGGAAGCACTGATTCGATGAGCATATTTGATAAGTTCTTCAGATGCGACTGGTCGATTACTCGCTCGATGAATGGATTGTAGCTTCTGCTTTGCTTGATACAAAGCTGTTGCCTAGAGATGAAGGTACACATGATTGATTGATACATTATAATTTTATGAACATGATCATTTAGATCCTAAATCTTAAAAAAGAATATGTTTTGCACAAAAATGACAGCACAGATCTCATCAAATGACAAGGAAAATAAAAATTGTCTCACTTAAGTTCCAAAAGACAAATTTGTACTTTGAGTTGTCTAAAGTTAAAACCGTTAGGTCTTTTAGTCTTTTGGAGGAGACGGTTTCACATGCTCATTGAGCTTGCCTTCGGTACGTAACTCCCAAATAATTTCGTTTTTCAAAGAGACAAAAATGGGCTAGATCTTTACACAGCCACATGGAAAGTCAGGATAAATAATGAAGGCTATGCAAATATCATGACATGTAACTTGTACCAATCAGAGGCCTGAGCACTTACAAGGATTTGTTCCGCTTCCTTGAGTAGTCTCTGCAGCTGTTGAATGTAATCATCCTGCTTGTCTACAACTGCCTGCAGCAATTCTGTTCTGTTGTTTATTTGCGCTTGTTCCTCTGCTAATTTTAGAGTTTCTTTCAATTCCTTGTCTTTGGCAACCAGAAGTTCGGTGAGAAGGATATGTTCGGGTCCATTTAATTTCTGCTGTTTCATAGAGTCAGTTTTCTCAATTAGCTCCCTGGAAGATAGGATAATGGGTTAAAAAGTTGGTGACTTTGAGGAAAGATATGAGTATTTGCAGGGCCCTAGAGATAAGTAAAAACTATGCCTTCTTCTGTTTCCTTAAAACAGGGTTCACACATCGTATGTTGAGTCAAACGTCAAAGTATTGTACTTATGTCACAACTCATCAGTGTTGCCATCTGACTGTAGGTATGTATTAACTTATTGCGTGGTGCTAATTCAGAGCTAAATAATGAGAGTTTGATATTTGTCTCAACATATAATGCGCAAGCTCTATGATATTAATCGATGACTACAACCAATTTTGACAGAATACCACTTATACCTAAAATATTTCTTATTTCCTGGGGTTCATAGAAATGATACTCACAGTATATAGTGTTTTGTGGTATACTTATTGTGTTGACTTGTTTTCACAAGATTCAAGCTGTACATTTTGACTAGGTACCCTGAGTCCACTCATGGATCGCTAAATATTGTTCTTGATAATTTACTGACAGTACTTAAGTCTTGACCATCAATAATAGCTGCATACTTTCTCGACTTTCTACAGCATGGATACTGCTGGAATAACTATCTTCATTAAAATGTTAGTTAATGACAAATTCCCAAACGTTTGGCGCAACAGCATGAGATCTCAGATGCTCTACAATATTCAGCTGTAGAAACTTCTGACAGACACAACAATTAGAAATCAAGGAGTACCGCATTGAAGTAAGTAATATGTATTACGGTATGTAATAATTTCATGAAGGTGATTTATTTCATACTCACTTTGCTACTGCCTCGATATCGTCGATGAGTAGAAGAAGCTTGTCTCTCGTGCTTAAATTGGAAGCCATCGCATCAAAGGTTTGGAATGTTAAGAGAAGTGAAATTTTCAAACGTACTCTTTGGTGATGAGATATTACAGTTTAAAATAAAAGGAGGGTTTCATTGGCAAAATAATTACTAAATAAAAAGAAATTTTAAAAAAATTTTAGAAAATATTGAGGGACCGGAGGAACTCAAGAAAATTGAAGAACTCAAAATGTAAACACAGCACAGCGACATGAGCGTGCTCTATCAGATCATGGTCATACTAATGCACAGAAGAAAAACTGAGGAAGGAACACTACCGCGCACCTCTACATGCCCTAGTGGCGTATATGAGAGGCGCGCGCTAGTTACATACGCTGCCCCATCTGACAACATTGACTTTTTGCATAACTGCTTATCAGTATCAGTACCGACTACCGAATCAGTTCCTGATCAGTTTGTAAAGTGACAACTGACAATGTCTTCTGATCAGCTTTTAAATCACGACAGGTTTTTACTCCCACTTTTTACTGCATATGCTCTCTAGTCATCATCTCCCAGACCGAAAAATATCCTTTCATAATTCGAGTATCTCCTGCTTACATTACAATTTTAGGTTATATTATCATCATTCCATAGTAGTTTCTTTTGAGTTCCCTTTCTGAAGATTTTCACCCCTTCTAGTGTGAAATTGAAACACTTTTAACAGAATGCACATGTGAGCAGACACTCAGAATGGAGTCTCTGTCTCTTAAGGCAATTGGTAAGAAAAGCTCATTCCTGTCCAACGATTCGGCTCCCTACAGAGCTCTTCCCCGCCCTTTTTTGACTCTTATCCCACTTAATTCTATTCCAGATACTCTCTGGTCCAAGGAATTGTATGGCTCAAGAGCTTCAACCACTGCTTTGAGTGCCTTTGCGTCTCTATTTGAAATGGTCCATGAATCCTCCTGTCTGTCTCGCGTATTCTGTGCTTAGAAGTAAACTATAATATTTACAAGTGTTTACACTCATTCATTCAGGACAGAACATGACCATGCATCCCATGCCTACTTAAGTAGCTGCATGATTATCAACATCCCTCAAAGAATGTTCTGGCTAGTCCGGAATACTGCTCTACCTCCTGAATGAACTCAATATTTATTCCTGCTCAGTGGATAATTTGCATGCTGTCATTACCTTCTCACAGTCTCTTAAGCTTGTAGCTGAGATCTGACAAAGTATACATTGAAATATTTGAATGTTTCCTCATAGTATCTCTTTCATGTTGAGATTGTTTTTATCATGCAATCCGTGAGTTCTGTACTCCTACTAGGTCCTCAACTTCCTGTCGCTCAACATTCAAGATCCTTTCATGATCTACTAGAGCAACGATAGTTCCCACTGGACTGTTATTCAATTCACTTTTGCACCACTAGCAACCAAAAACTCCTGTCTTATTTCACGTACCTACCAATAAAACATCTTACATTTTTTCTCTTCTTCTGAACATTTTTTCTTCAGCCTCAGGCTCTTATTCTATCATGCAATAAGTTAAGATGTCCTTTCATTTCTTTTTCTGTCTGCAGCTTGTGTAAATGCTAAGATCTGTCCAACTTTCCGGTGAACACCCCGTTGAAGCGATTTCAAATTTCTGTGAAGTACATTGATACAACCAGGTCAACATGGAGAGAGATTTTGCCCCTCTTAGTCAAGCTTGTGTCCGAGCACTGAACGATAAGATGTACGAGAAACGGAAAGCAGCAGCTCTAGAAATCGAAAAGTAAGTTGTGAATTTATAGGTTCACCTGTCATTAAATGTTGGTTGAACTCATTTTATCTCTCAAGTTCTCCTGCAGTGAAAGGATGATCATTGCACTCACTAAGTGCTATGAGAAATGAAAGAAGCAGGTGTCTTTGTAAATGATAAGAATTTTGGCTGACAGTGTTTCATATGCTCTCACCGTAAATTCATTATATTTTTACCTAGCTTGACAACTGCAACATAATTGAAATGTCACATTTCAATTTCTGTTATTCTGTAGAACACTCATAGTAGCAACAACTGTTGAGAAGACAACCCTTTAAAAAAAACTGTTCAAATGTGCATTTTAGGAAACCTTTTTCAGGTATTTTCTAAGGTAAAATTTTAGTAAACTTTTGCACAAAAGAGTGACTTTAAACTTTTAAAAATTGACTTTAAGTGAAAATTTTAAATATGACTCTTAAGACTGTACTTTTCCATCACCTAATATGTTTGCAAAATGTTGAAGAACTCATAAAAACATACCTAGTCACTTTTTTAAAGACCTCTTTAAAGTAATTTTCACAAAAAGTTAAATTTTACTTACTTAAGTAACTATAAAGGGTCTCCTAAAATGAACATTTTAACAGTTTTTACAAGAGTTTTTGAAAAACGCTTTTAAAAGATCATCGCTATTAGGGACTCAAAATAATCTTATTTTGATACAAATTGTGCTGTCAGTACAAAATCAAAAAATCATGTGGATGTATTACAGTGTGTTCCAGTATGTGGATGTAATAAAGTACCAATCAAAATTTAAATTATGATAACAATTGAAAGTTATTTGGAGCAAAACTTGGTTGTCATTTTAGCCTTAGAAGCTCAGCCTTATTGGAAAATTCCTCACTCAACAAAAAGAACAGAACGGAGCATAAAAATTCGAGATATCATTGCCTTTTTTGGTTTTTTTCTTATTTTTTACTCAAGAAAGGAACCCTTCTTTTATCGAAACATTTCCTCCAAGATTTCCTCATGCCACCCATGAGTGGGGACTTGCTCGGTTGAGCATTTTCTGTACCCCTACTAAAATTATCTCTTACCTATTAATCTCCCTCTTTAAGTAATTTTCTTGGCAAAAGCATAGAGAGTTTTTATATAGCTGAAGGCTCAAACTTAAAATTATCCTGTTATTAAATAGGATGGTGAAGGAGTTTGCATCTCACAATAACACCGCCCAAATCAAAAGATTATTGAAGATACTTGGTCAAGATTTTGCCGTCTCAAAAAATCCACACTCACGAAAAGGTGGTCTAATTGGATTGGCTGCAATGGCAGTTGGTTTAGGCAAGGTAAGGTCTTTTCTCCTTCCCTTAATTGTTTCACCTTTTTTCCTTTTTTTTAAAAATTCAATCTCAAATCTCAACGTTTGTTTGATATAAGGCTGTCCTAAAAAACCGAGAGTTGGCCTGCTCTAAAAAAACTATTACAAATATTAGAATGCTAGTTTCAGTAACTTGTAGCTTATTTTATTGACCTTCTAACGAGCCTTCTATCAGCTTATTCGGCCAAAAATTTGCATTTCTTCAGCGATTTTTCAGTGATAGGTAGATAATATATTCTCCAAAATTTTCGAGTCACTTTCACTTTCCAACTCCAATTTGTGAAGACAACAACATCCTAAATTAAGTCTTAGATGTGACCATTTTGTTGGATGGTGCGACTTTTATAATGAAATTATCAAAATACTGTTGAAGTTTTTGTGGTTAAAAGCTCGCCATACCTGATATTTCCCTACATGTTGATGGATAGTGATAAATGACTTTAAAATCGTGGAGAATTTTATCACTCATCACTGAAAAATTGTCTGAGAAATGCACATTCCTTACCTGAAGAGCTCAAAAAGAGCTCGTTAAATAGCTAATGGAATAAACTATAAGCTCCTGCAAACCATATTCTAATATCTTCAATAATCTTAACAAGAACAGGTTTACTCTGTTTTTTTTTAGAACAGCTTTCTTACTTTCCTCACTTGTCCTGTATTTTTATGGAATTGGGAACTAACTCACTCTCAAGTCAGCATCAGAAATATCAGTTTGCCCTGTCTGTTGGTTCTCTATTTACTCAGCTGGTGATCTCAAAGACGAAAGCTCAAAAAGAAAAAAACAATTTTTTTTCAAATCATGAATTGATCCACTTTCAAAAAGAGTGATCTCCATGAGCAGCAGCATGTGTCTGTTTAAATGGCAGCATGAGTTCAAGCTTAGAAACAGTCTGGAATGTTGCAGGAACCTGTTAGTAATGTTCGTTAATTGCTCACAGGAAACCAAGAATAAAACACTGAAAAATGTGGCCCCACCTGTTAGTCACAAAGAATAGTGTTGGGTCTACATTATTCTGCAGCGAAATTATTCTTCCCCGTCAGTTTACCACTGATACTCATTAGAGTTTAATTCTCCTAGTCTAATTAAAATGTTTTGAATTTTTTTTCCTTGATTTCCCTGCAGAACGTGGACCACGTATTATTTTATATTATTCACAGAGTAGTTAATCAAATAATGATTAATTTACTATAAATTTTGAGATAGACCCTCCAGAGAGGTCTAAATCTCAGTTGAAAAGAATTCTAATTTCTCAAAATTAAAAGCATATTATTCAAAAATCTCTGAACAAATTCGCAACACCCTGTGAGTTCCAAATATTAAATATATTTGCAACTTAATTTGCACAATGGCTGATTTACAGAGAGGTCAATGGATTCCTGAATTGATCGTGTCAAAAGCCCTTTTTTTGTTTTTGGTATTAAAAACCAATAAACTTTCAGAGTGTCTCTCGCAATTTGGTGTTTTTACCAAACAGAAAAAGTGATTTGCCTCACTGATGACTTATATGAACCTTTCAATTTTCAAGGTCTCCAATATAAGGTTATGATTTTGCCTCACATCCCAAGCTTTGCCTGATGTTTGTCACAGATCGCAAGATCGGGAATGTGTTTTTCTTTGAATTCTCCTCTGAAAATATTAAAGATGCATAAATTTATTTTATTTACAATAAATCAAATCATTTATTGAGAACAGGATAAACATGCCAAGAACGTAACTTCAATCATGCAATAAAGAAAAGGAGATACATGAAATCTAGATTATCAAATCTTATTTTAATAGACTGTATTTCAGTGAATCTTAATGATTCATATTTTATTGTAAAAATAATAATTAATTTGTATGTAATACATTTTTTCTCTTGTAGGAGACGGGAAACTACATTGAAGACTTAATACATCCAATTTTAGCAAATTTCTGTGAAGCAGACTCCCGTGTTCGCTTTTATGCGTGCGAATCTTTGTACAACGTTGTAAAAATAGCTAGGAGCTCTATTCTTCCACACTTTGCAGAAATATTCAGTGCTCTAAGCAAGCTAGCAGCTGATCCTGATCAACATGTAAAGAATGGCTCCGAACTGTTAGATCGATTATTAAAGGTACGATCCTTATTTTTCCAATGAAGTGATGTTATGTTTTTTGCACCAAAATCTGATGAGACGAATTTTATTTTGATGCACAATTTTTACGTTTCATTTTTGGTTGGCTCTACTATGTGCGGTATTTTTAAAGTACGCACACTGACCAATAGAACGTGTTGATCCTTGTGTCAAACACATAATTGAGCCTCCTGCTTTGTAGTCAGGGTCTGAGAACTACCTAGAAGAAAGAAGTTGTTGAATTGATATCCCAGGAAGTCAAAAATCTGCGTCAAAACTCTGGAATGTTGAAACAAACTTTCTAGCTGTTGAAGTAACATCCTGGTGACATTGAATTAATAACGGATGTGTTCACATCAGCATACCAGAGTCGTTGCACAGATTTCTAACATCCTTGGATGTTAATCCATAATTTTTTTTTGCCTTGATACCTCTTCTACAAATGCATCCTCTTAAATCAGTAAACCGCCATGTTTAGAGATGAAATCTTTGTTGAATAGAGCAATGAAATTAGGTTCTCCTCTCCTTGCAATTCTCCACAAAATTTTCTATAGCTTCAAGCCACCAATCCTCCTATTGCAGTGCGTTTTTTGTTTTTTGTCACTTAGAAGCTTTTCATGAAAGTGTTCAAAATGTTTTATGATTTGTTGAGGCTGACAGCATTTTCTCTTCCCAGGATATTGTGACCGAGTGTTCAACATTCAACATTGATGCCTTCATGCCGTTACTGAGGGAGAGGATCTATGTTCCCAATAATTTTGCACGCCAGTTCATCATATCATGGATATCAGTCTTGAATTCCGTCCCAGATATTGATCTCATTCCGTACCTTCCAGAGATATTAGATGGTCTTTTCAATATACTCGCCGATCCCACTGTGGAAATTAATAAAATGTATGGTAATTGTCTCTACTTGCTTTACATTAATGTTTAAAGAATTTCTATGACTCTCAATTTCCTCTGAATCTCAATTCTGGAATATTTTTGATTTGCATTTGTGCCCCATCTTAAAAACCTAGCATTTAGGCAATTCATTTATTGATGAAAAATCTCTAGTTTTCCAACCTCACTTCAATATTTTAGGAGCTATTTGGGCAGAAGTCTAATTTTTTGCAGCCACTTTCAAATATTCTTCAAAGCTGTGAAAGTTCCTGTTATCAGAGAATAAAATTTGTGAGGAACAAAGATGCAGCAGCTTTAATTGTTGCTTCAATTTTAAAACACATTGTTCTGTCAGTGCTCTTTATTTTTAGGCGCATTTTACACATAGTACTGGTCAAGTCAGATCTCCGACTATGTCCATTTTCATCAAACCTGATAAATTTTCATTTTTCCAATTATAATAGCACAAGTTAATTATTGGTCAATTAAAGAAGTTGTATCTCTTTCCAATACCTAATTTCTTTCTTCTTAATAGGTGTGAAACTTTACTTGGTGAGTTTCTACGCAACATAAAATTGAATCCTGATAAAGCCAATTTTCCAGACATGATCAATGTTTTAATTGTCCACGCTCAGTCACCAGACAGCCTGTTGCAAGTAAGAATCCCCTTGAAATTTTACTGAACCCACTCTTTTTCTGCTTATTTTTTCTAGATTTTTATGCAAGATTAAAATTTGTAAACCTGTTTCCCGCAGCAAGAAGAATCAGTCGCATATTCTACAATTATTATAATTAATATATATACTTATATTATAATTAATTAATATTCTTCAATAATCTTAGACACAATCCTCAATCACCAAAAAAAAAGCTGCCTTGCTGATTGCTTTTGAAGTCCTAAATCAAAATAAGTGATTTCCAAAGTCAAGATGATGTTGCTGCATTTATCCCCCTTCTCTCTCATCCACTAGAGTTTAATAAGAGTGCTGGAAAAATAATTCATAAAAGATCTTTGATTCATTTGATGATGTTCTCCTTGGTGTCTGTTTGATGCTTAAAATAATCCAAAATTTTTAATGTACTACATTCAAATTTGTTCATTTATTTTGCAGTATACAGCTGTCACGTGGATCAAGGAGTTCGTTCAGTTATCTGGCGATTCAATGCTTCCATACGTATCCGGCATACTCACCGCAATTTTGCCATGTGTAGCCTATGAAGAAGATTCTCAGAAACGTATCCTTTTATCTCACCAAAATAAAATTTTATTTTCTTGAGCAGGTACATGAAGAGATCATCTCTTAATGTTGGAATTCGGTGTTTCATTGAACTAGTGAATTTTGAAGAGTTTAAACCTCATCATTCGAGTTGCTCATGTACAAGATTTAAAAGATTGAAAAGCAAAAATAAGGCTAAACGCAAGTCATTATTACTCCTAGAAATTTAGACATTACAGGAGCTACCTACTGTTTCGTGCCAAAAAAATTCCTTTTGAGCCTTCAGGCATTGCCAAATGTTCTTTGATGAAATATAAAGTTTCAGGGAAACTTCTGTATATTTTTCTTCCAATGTTTTGATGTAAGGTGTTTTGCACTTTATTTATAACATGCTCTAATTCAGTTGAAAAAAATATTCAGAAAAATGAGCTCTTCTTCACTTACATGTTCAATCAGTGAATGAATTATACTTATCAATGGTCAAAGTTCAAAACCACTTATTTCCATTGCAGTGTCAAAATTTCTGCTATTATTTTATTTTTTCGAAGAGAAACAAGTCAGTTTCATTGCTTGAAGTGCACACAGAATATTCTGCTAACAGAGAAGAATAATCAAGAAAGTTCTCCAAAAATTACGTCGACTAATTTTCCGAAGAAAAAATAAATTAAGACAGGAAGTCTGAAACATCTAAGAGAAATACATGGTTTTGCACTTTGGCAACCGATACATATGGTATGTTCCTGAACAGCTATTCAGATATCAAAGAGGCAGCTATAGCAGTGAATTTCAGTCTTATGAAACTAATTACGATGGAAAGCAAACTACCGCAAGGAGGAGATGAGGTAAGTCAAATGTTTTTAATTCATCTTTGCCGGCAGTCTCTCTGTCTGCGTAAGATACGTTACCAGGTTGTTTTTGAGAATCGATTGGATCCTTTTAGCATCAGTTATGTGAGCGTTTTTCATTTTTGATGACTTCCAAAATTTGCTCAAGGTCATTATCCATATTGGTAATTGGTTCATCTCCCGCTGGTGGTAGACCAGCAGATGACTGCTCTGTTACCCTGTGGCGAGAATCCTTCGGTTAAAAAGTGTTGCTCCACTGTTGCGCCTCTTGATAATATCTCTCTAGGAATTTTGCCCAGTTTATCATGTATGTAGTTTCGTGTAAATGGTAATTATTTTTTTGAAACATAAAGATTTGATTTAATTCAATTTTCGAAGCAAATTAGCTATCTACAGTGGATTTTCAAAAACACACTGAAAAATTGAAAGCATAGTGTCTAGTTTTTTAAAAACCGGGATTTATCAGGGAATGAAAATTTACCGGGAAAATCAGGGAATCCGTTCCAGAAACTGGGAATCTCTTCTCCAACCTCCCAGGGATCACTCCGTTTTCAGATTTGACGATCTAATCTGACCGAGCACTATTCGGCTACGTCCATCGGCCTTCGGCAATTATCGCGAATGCGCAGTTGGAAACTCGCATCGATGACCCGAACTTGCATCTTCAATCGGGCTTTGAGAAATTTCTCCAAATCTCCTCTCATCCGACTCATCATAATCTTTTCCTCAAGAAAATCCCGGGAAAGTGGGAGAAAACTTTGGTTTCTCATCAGCGAATGAGCTCCTGAAAATCAGGGAAAATCAAGGAAAAATCAGGTAATGAGCTTTGCCAAGAAAAGTAGACACCATGATTGAAAACAAATCAATAACTAGAAAATTGGGGATCATGTCCTCCATTTTTTAACTTCTACATCGTATTTTTACCACAAGATATTTTCTTTTTTCCACAAGACACATGTCTTAGGAAAGGATGCAGCGTACTGGTAAAAACTTTTCCAGTAGTTGCTGGATAATTTTGAGGGGAAACAGTCTAATAAGATTTTGTAAGTCACCTCAAGAAATGAGATGAAATTTGTATCAGTTTCATAAGTGCTGAAAAAGGAAGACTCATGGCATTTTCAACAAACATCATCCGATAACCAGGTTTCTCAAGCCAGAAAGGGATACTATTGAAATGGATACACAGTATACCGCATTAGTGATAGTTTTGATTCCGCCTGATACAATGTGGCAAGTCCCTTGGATGCGTATGGAAAATTGAGTTTTAGGCTGGCTGTGTATTTTTCCAAGCCTGTCCTACCTGACAAAACAAAAAACGGGCAAACCTACAGGGGTGTCAGAGGTTACGCTTACTTCTGCTCTGTCCCTTCGAGAGCTGGGAAGCCTCAGGGTTGCCAAAAGTGTGCAATTATACATCCTATCGGGAGGCCTAATCGACCTAATGATCTTGATTTTTCCTACCAATTAGAAATTTTCAAAGTAGCCAATCGATTAGTTCCAAAGTAGTCATACGATGATCCAATCCGATCCTGACAACCCAAATAATTGGATGAGATGGGATCTCTCCTGAGAAAGAAAGGAACATTTGCTGTAAATTATACTTTTTTTCTGACACATTATGAGCTGTATTAGCAGATTAAAATACGCAAATTAGGGAAAGGATCTAATTCTTTCAGTACGGTTCAGAAGGAAAAGAATTGACCTCGTCAAAAAATCAGCGCATCAGAATCAATTCGATCTTGTCAGTCTTTTGGTCTTGAAGAATTAATCAAACCAAAATTTGCCATCAACAAACGTAGATTGTGGCATTGCAGTCACCTCATGTTGACAGTGAATCTTCCAAACTGCATATCTCGGTTTGCGACATTGCAGACTTCCTGTCAAACTTTATTTTTTGAATGGAAAACTACTGAATGTCAATTCCTAGTAGCTTTCGTGACTTTTCTGCTCTGTGAGGAGAGAAAACAGGTGGTCAAAGAGTTTCACTGTCGATGTGCTACTTTCTCTACATGATAATCTCGGTAAATGAAAAATAATCGACTTGATACATGAATCAATGACGGACCGTACAAACAAAAGTGTAGATCGAAGTATGAATCGTTTCGAGAGTTGGTGATTTTGCCAACGTGCGCTCAAAATTTAATCTAGAACTAAAGCCTCAGTTTTAGAGTGAATTTTGAGCGCACGTTGGCTAAATCACTAACTTTCTCTAAATGACAGGCTGTATCAAAGCTTTGTGTTGAAGTTTGCTACTTTCCTTTTTTTTTTTTTTTCTAAGACAAGTTGTCAATTCGTTTTTTTTTTAATGAAGATGTTGTGCTCAAGACAAAGTTGAAACCTTCTGATTTTATTGCTGAGGACCCTAGAATTAATTGATTAGAAGATTTAATTAATTAATTTGCGAAGTCATGAGAAACAGATAAGTAATGTTCACCTCCCTTTCCCCTCTATTTATATCACCAAAACCGCTGTGTTATGGAAAAGAGCTGTAAGTGCACTCTATATTGAGCCTCAAGACACTTAAGAGCATGTGTTAACCGCAGCTTGTACAGAAATGCACTTAGTGTTCTCTCCCGTAACATGGCAGAAAATGCTACTGCAGCATCCATCAAAATTCGAAATTAATGAAGATTCCATGAATTCCATGAGGAAGTAATTTTATATTCTTAAGATAATTTCTCGTAAGCTTTCAGGTGAAGCTTTTCAGTCAGTTTGAATGAATCCAAACAATGTTCCCTTCAGTGGATTACTACTTTTGTGGAACTTGAAAGAAGGTTGAAATATTTCAGATTATATTTGTCTCTTAAAATCACAGATTCAGTATAGACTCTTATCAAAGATGTATTTTATCTATTTTGTTCTAAATTTTTTAATCTAGGCCGGCGAGAACGATTTAAATTTACCATCCATCGTTGAAGTCTTGTCTAAAAACTTGCAACACACTCCAGTAGCCACAAAAGTTGCAGTGTTACGTTGGATATTTCATCTGTATACAAAGACACCACAGAAGGTAAGATCCTATGTTATTTTATATCGGCAAACTTTTTTGCCGAAAGAAAAGAACAGCAAAAAGGTAAAGTATTTGTGAGAAAGTCTTAAACTTTATCTTGATCGAAAATCCACAACTTTAATTGGGCTACTAGACCAGGCCTGAATTGGAGAAAAACGTCACATGTTTTCTCTTCAACATTTTATGCAGAATACGATTTTTTTAGTAAGCTCAAAAATTTTTAGCTCTTTCTTTTTACTATTTAAGTATTTGATCTGTTTTCTGTTTAGATGTATCCTCATATTGATGAGCTCTTCCCTATTCTGCTGAAAGTTCTCAGCGATTCGTCCGAAGAAGTAGTGCAGCATGATCTAGAAGTACTAACTCAAATCGTTTCAACCCCTCCTCACCAAGAGGGTGATACTGTAGGAAATGAAGTGAATTCTAAAACAGGTTAGTTATACTGCCGTGCGAAGGAAGAACTCTGTATGAACATTCGAGAGTTGCCAAATTCCCTCCGGTAAAATGTTTATTTTTAAGAAAAGTTATGAATATATTTCCATGAAATTTTCAGGACCTTCAGGTGAAACTGCAAACAAAATTATCTGACAAATTGGAAGGAAACAATTCACAAGTTTGCCAGGAAATCCGTGTTTTACCAAAGGAAATTTGGCAACGCCTGAAGTTTCATACGGCGTTCTTCCTTAGCACAGCAGTATTTTTTTTTTTTTTTTGTTTGTTTGTTTATTATCGCAAGATACAGAGCATAATACATTTACACTTACAATGAAAGTGGTGAAATAAGATTTTTAAGAGACAATAATTATGAAGACTATAACTTACAAAGATTGACTCGGTTGAGGTGAAAATAATAATTACGTAATTCAACTCGGTTGTAGGTTCGCGATGCCGGAATCTGCCTTAAGGCATACGTCGGCAAGCACAGCAGTATAAGTTTCTGTTCATTTTTAGCTTCCAAAAGAAACAAGATCGAGTTTTGATAATTTTTTAACTAATTAAGAGATGAGTCAGCGAAAATAAAATAAATAAACTTTCAAACTCGCTTACCTATTTCCTCTCAAATTTGTTATATTAAGATGCGCTTTGAACTCCACAGCAGTCTGAAATGTGTCTTAAAGTAACAAATTGGAAAGGAAAGAAGTGAGTTTAAAAAATAATTTATTTTATTCATTGATCAAATCTTTTCTTGTTTTTTAAGAGTCCCTCATATACCATACCTGATGGGTTCACATTTCATTGTAACCGGCAATTTTGTACTCTGAACATGGCATACTAAAATTTGAATTAGCTTTTTCTTGAAACTTTGTTATTTTAATATATAATTATTTAATAGTTATTTTAAAGTATAAATATAGTGAATAGCAACATTTATACTTCTATGACTCTCTAGTTTGACGTTTTTTCATCGAAAAATGTTCGTAGACCCTTCTTTGTGCTGTGGTACCAGCATCTTAATTTTAAATTTTTGGGGACGAAAGACCTTTTTTCTGCAAATGGTCTTATATCTAGTTGAAATTTTCTTGTCTAAGACTGTCATTTTAATCTCTTTTACACCAACTATACTTTTTTCAAAGCTCTAGAGGAAATTTTTTTTTTTTTTAAAACCAATTTTATTAACATATGCCCTGTTTGTTTGCAGTTCCAAATCTAGGAATCAAATCTTCTGAAAATGTCACAGCTAATCCGTATTTCAATAAGTTTATCACTAGTTTACTCAAATTATTTTTGAATAGAAATTTACTGGAAGATAGAGGCTCCTTTATCATTAGGTATGTTCAATTTTTCATTCCGACTCTTTTTTTTTTAAATAAATAAAAATTGCTGAAATTGGGGAAAAGTAATGTACAATTTTGAAATCGAATCTACAATACCAATTGATCATGTCTGCAGTTATTTTGTAATTATGTCCAACTGTAAAATTGAGTAAACTTTATCGCAGTTTTTTTCTTTTAGTAGAATTCATTATTAAATGAAAATAAGAAAGTGTTTCAGTATGTAAATTGACCTAAATGCACAAGGCCAAAGTTTATACGAGGACATTGTAAGACAAGTTTGATAAACAAATCGGAATTTGAGTTTTAAATGGACATATTCTCTTCTATCCAAAAGAATATGTGGGGAGTGTATCAATACATCTTGATGCTAATAAAAGGCATAAAGGAGGAGTAACGGTTTGGGCCTTTCCCGGCCCCACCTGGATTTTGCTAAATGTTTCATATTTTCAAAGTACTAGTCTACCTAAGACTCTGTGCCAAACATTAGACCGAACGGAGCCCATGCAAGGGCGCAGCAGCGCCTCAAACCCAAAATCCTGGAATCGAAAAACAATTATTTTCGTCGACTTTTTCGACTGTTATCACTCTTCCAGCGCATAATTCTTATGTATTTTTTTGCGTACTTTTCGTTTCTGGCCTTTTTAAAGGCCGCCGATAAATTTTAAGGGGCCTTATGGCCCATTGTTGCCATTTTTGGCCCATTTTTAGGGGTTTTTTCTATTTAACACATTCAAAACTCAATTTAATCCAAAAACTGTGTACATTTTTGAAAAGTACGTAAAAAAATGAATAAAAAATGTTCAGTAAAATTTTTTCCTATGTTGCTAAATTTCCGAGAAAATTGGTCCCAAAGTGTCAAAAACGGCAAAAAATCGATAAATCGCCGCGCCTAAGGTTCAAGAAAGGGGAGTACAACTTTCATATTGTACCAGGTAACAGCTCTTATCCATCCATACAACATATTAAAATATCATAGTTGTACCTGGATTCCCACGATGTGAAAATTGACCGAGATGTCTATTTTAGCGGCCTTTTTATACTTGAAGGTAGCTCTTTTGAATGTTTTTCGACCTTAGTCACCCTCTATGGGTGTGTACTATATGTATTTTTCTACGTACTTTTCATATCTGGCCATAAAAATGGCTTCCTGTGAATTTTAAAAGGCCCAACGGTCCATTGTTGCCAATTTTCACCAATTTTCAGGGGTTTTTTCAAGTTTACGTGTGTGAAACTTAATTTAAACTAGAAACCGTGTACAATTTCGGAAAGAACGTAAAAAAATGCATAAAAATGAGATTTGTACCTTTTCCCTACGTTGCCAAATTTTCGAGAAAAATCGTCCTGAAGCGCCAAAAATGCCAAAAATTGGATTCATCATCACGTCGGAGGTTCCAGGAAGTGAATTTCAAGTTTTCTTTTACTACAAATAACGTATCGAAAATGGAAAATTGTAATGCATCTCAAGGAACATGTAATGGCGCAGATGAACGTGACAAAACGGGCCCTCAAGGTGCTTTTACTTTATCCTTCACTCCAGTTCACCTCTTTATTCCTGTAACCTCGAGATAATCCTTGGTTCTCAAGATGCTTGCTACAGGCCAAATATACCGAACAACAGAAAATGCTTGGAGAAAGTGTCCCACGATCCACATGAATGTCATAATTCACTTCCTGGAACCTCCGACGTGATGATGAATCCAATTTTTGGCATTTTTGGCGCTTCAGGACGATTTTTCTCGAAAATTTGGCATTGTAGGGAAAAGGTACAAATCTCATTTTTATGCATTTTTTTACGTTCTTTCCGAAATTGTACACGGTTTCTAGTTTAAATTAAGTTTCACACACGTAAACTTGAAAAAACCCCTGAAAATTGGTGAAAATTGGCAACAATGGACCGTTGGGCCTTTTAAAATTCACAGGAAGCCATTTTTATGGCCAGATATGAAAAGTACGTAGAAAAATACATATAGTACACACCCATAGAGGGTGACTAAGGTCGAAAAACATTCAAAAGAGCTACCTTCAAGTATAAAAAGGCCGCTAAAATAGACATCTCGGTCAATTTTCACATCGTGGGAATCCAGGTACAACTATGATATTTTAATATGTTGTATGGATGGATAAGAGCTGTTACCTGGTACAATATGAAAGTTGTACTCCCCTTTCTTGAACCTTAGGCGCGGCGATTTATCGATTTTTTGCCGTTTTTGACACTTTGGGACCAATTTTCTCGGAAATTTAGCAACATAGGAAAAAATTTTACTGAACATTTTTTATTCATTTTTTTACGTACTTTTCAAAAATGTACACAGTTTTTGGATTAAATTGAGTTTTGAATGTGTTAAATAGAAAAAACCCCTAAAAATGGGCCAAAAATGGCAACAATGGGCCATAAGGCCCCTTAAAATTTATCGGCGGCCTTTAAAAAGGCCAGAAACGAAAAGTACGCAAAAAAATACATAAGAATTATGCGCTGGAAGAGTGATAACAGTCGAAAAAGTCGACGAAAATAATTGTTTTTCGATTCCAGGATTTTGGGTTTGAGGCGCTGCTGCGCCCTTGCATGGGCTCCGTTCGGTCTAATGTTTGGCACAGAGTCTTAGGTAGACTAGTACTTTGAAAATATGAAACATTTAGCAAAATCCAGGTGGGGCCGGGAAAGGCCCAAACCGTTACTCCTCCTTTATGCCTTTTATTAGCATCAAGATGTATTGATACACTCCCCACATATTCTTTTGGATAGAAGAGAATATGTCCATTTAAAACTCAAATTCCGATTTGTTAATCAAACTTGTCTTACAATGTCCTCGTATAAACTTTGGCCTTGTGCATTTAGGTCAATTTACATACTGATACACTTTCTTATTTTCATTTAATAATGAATTCTACTAAAAGAAAAAAACTGCGATAAAGTTTACTCAATTTTACAGTTGGACATAATTACAAAATATTGTCTAATGTTTGGCACAGAGTCTTAGGTAGACTAGTACTTTGAAAATATGAAACATTTAGCAAAATCCAGGTGGGGCCGGGAAAGGCCCAAAACGTTATTCCTCCTTTGCTTTTCAATTGGACACGGTAGATTAAATCTGTAAATGACTTTCTCTCTCAACTACGTTTTTTGAGCTGCAAACCACAAATAGCTTATTGTTTGTTTGATCTCTTTTAGTAATTCTATTTGAGTTAAAATATTCGTAAGTTTGCTATGCAAGCATGGTGTATATTACAAGTTTTAGTGCCTCAGAACTTAGGTCCATTCTCTGTTAGTCCATCAGAAATAATGCTTGGATTTTTGCAAAACATTTTGGAAAAACTTCGCACATGAAAAACACACCTCTTTGTTACCAGGTAATTTTTTTTCTATTTTACTGGTTTTTGTCTTAAGTAAAAGTAACGATTCCAAATGATTCTTGTATTCATATGCTTGAGATATGATTCTCATTTTTCCACATTAATGCCTCCATTCTGAGCTCCATTGAAAGCGTAATACATGTAAGTTTAAGTCAAATTTGTCTCAACAAGAACTGATTTATGTATTGCTTCTCATTGCAGGCAGCTGTGTGTATTACTGAATGCTGAAGATATTTACTGTACGTTGGCAAAAATTATTCTAGAGGAAGACAACATAAAATTTGCAAGCGTTATGGTGCAGTCCCTCAACACTATTCTACTCACATCATCTGAATTATTTCAGTTGAGGAACAGTCTCAAGGAATTCAAAACAGAAGTAAGAGTTTTTCCGTCTGTTTCTCAAAATTCCTAACTTTTCTAAGTTTTACACAAACTGATTGCGGTAAACGCACGGGTCGTAAGATGGGGTGGTGGAGTTTTTTAGCCAACGTGCGTATGTTAAATATTGTACGGAAAATAGGATCTAGGAAATTCGAAAGAAGTTTAAATAATTTGTTTGATTTTAAGATTTTTTGTTTGAGTTTTCTTTGCTTAATGATACATCTTTAATGGTTCTGTTTCAGGATAGTTATCGCTTATTCGAGGTCTTATATGCAACTTGGTGTCATAGCCCAATAGCTACTTTTGCCCTGTGTTTACTAACTCAAAATTATGAGCATGCCTGTGAGCTTCTACGAATATTGTATCCTTTTTGACACCTGTTAGGGTTCACTTCAATAGGTTCACTCTTTTGTTTTCTTGAGAGCTGTTCAAAAATAACCATCCTAATTTTTTAGAATTTTTATAAGTTCTTGTAAGTTAATTGAAATTGGGGATGGGTTATTTTCAATTTTTATGTCTGGAAAGAGATTATCTTACCATCTCTTTCGTACCAAGTTTAGTGAATTGCACTGAAAATCATGAATCTGCTATATTGCCATTCAGGAATCATTGCAATTCTCAAATCTTGTCATTATTTTTTTCAAAACCGAATGTATATTTCCTATGATTTTATCATCAAGATATTGAAGGTATTTTAATAAATTTGCAAAAAATTGCTAGACTTCATGTAGGAATGTGCCCCTCAGTTTTATCTCCAAAAATTACAACTTTCATCAATTCGTCACCTTCCAGGCAAAGTATCACAAGCGCCATGCGACGTTTAAAAATTTCCGCCGCCATTTTATTTCTTTACTGAGAAATTGTTGGTTGAATCTGTTTGGAAATTTCACTAAATTTTATCGGCAGCACAAAGAAAATTCAGTGAAATTTTCGGACAGCTTCGTTGAACAATTTCTCTGTAAAAAAATAAAATGGCGGCGGAAATTTTTAAATATCGCATGGCGCTTGTGATACTTTGCCTGGAAGGTGACGAATTCTCACTGGCACAAGTTCCACCATGAACTTCGTTGTTATGATTTTTAATTTCTTCTTATATTGAGTCAATATTTTCCTGAGCATTAATTCAGTGGTGATATCGAGATAACGACTGAATTTTTAGTAGACGTGGATAAACTAATACAGCTGATTGAGTCTCCAATTTTTACTTGTAAGTTTTCCGTTCATTTTTTCAACGATCAGTAACTTTTAAAAACGGACACTTTTTATCAGTGCAATTGCCTCATTCATCATTGTTTGTTCTTTTAAATTGTTTTTTGTTCGGATCAGGCAAGGCTCTTAAATTGATGAACCTTTAAGAAGTAAATGGAGGATCCAAATATCTTGATTTTTCACAAAAACATCTTCGTCGCTTTTAACCTCAGTTTCTTCCTTTTAAAGTCTGGACATTTTAAACCCTGAATCAAATGAATACAAAGAACTAAATTAAATTATGTTAAATTTTGTCAAAGCTTTATTGTGATGCAAATGGGTATAGTTTAATAGAAAAGCGCCTACTTGTATTCTTGAAAAAAATGAGGCGGCAGTAGTTCTAGGAAATACTAGTTCTGATCAGACATTTTAATGATTGTTGTTTTTCAGATCTTAGAATTGAATTACTTGAAGTTCCTCATAATCGCTATTTGGTTCAAGCTCTGTATGGATTATTAATGTTACTACCTCAATCTAACGCATTCCATACTTTGAAAAATCGCCTTCAGTGCATTCCGCAGCTCCAGTTCTTCCAGGCCAATGAGTAAGCTCTTCAGTCGCTTAAGTTCTTCATATGTTTTGACTGATTGAAAGAAAATTATAGCTAACCATTATAGTAGTTCAGAGGCATATGTGTTCCTGTGTGCACATTTGGGATAGAACTTAAGACACATTTCCATCTGAATCCATCTGGCCTCGATTTTTCTTCCAAGGTTACTGTACTGTACCCCCTCAAATTAGTTTGAATAAGTGCCTCATCGACAGGATATCTACCCCTAAATCTAGTCCTGAGGGATTTCTAATTGTAGTTATCACTATCTAAAGAACTTGTAAAGTTGAAAGAGAATCAAATTTAGAAAATCAGTTACATTATTATTAGTCGGTCGATAAAGTGAAAGCTTTCTAAAATCAATCAAAATCCAAAACACTTATAAAGTCCGAATGCATTTTTCCAACGTTGGTTTACTACCATCCTTTGTGTGCTTGTTTATTTACAATAAAATGTCAGCCATGAAACTTATTTTTTATAGAATAGTTTTCTCATTCAACGTCTTTTGTTTTTTCAGGTCGGAGGTCTTCAAGAAGAAAGAATCAATAAAAAAATCTAACTTAGACTTTAAGAAACTGCTACAAACTTTTGTAAATGTTCAAGAAAGACACAAACAGATAAAAGCTGCTGCTAGGTATGAAGCTATATTAGAGAAAGGTGTAAAAAATACAGAGATATCGTGATATTAATTTTTTTGTATTTTATTATCATCGATTACCTTGTATTCTATCTTTCTTTACCTGTCAATCACCCCAAGACAGGTATCTTTTAGATGCCCAGTTTGCGTGAATTATGATTTTTTTCTGATATGTCTGACAGTCCACAGGGAAAAGGACTCGGGAATCGAACATTTTCAGCAGAGCAATTTTTGTGGAGTGAAGACAGCAGATTTTGAGGTTTTGAGGGAAAACTCAATGTTTTAGACAATCAGTCACCGAAGAGTTGAGCCATTTTTTTGCGTCTGAAAGGTGTAAAATTTCATTATAATCAGTTGATTTTTCATCCTAAAACTGTAAGTTAAAATTTTTGAATGGATATTTCTTGAATTTACATTTTTTGGTCTGGGAACTTCAAACTGCCGTAGCTCAGGTTTGATTTGACACATGTAAGCTCATCTTAGCTTCCAAAATTTTCGTCGTACACTCTTCTTTCTGCTCTGATATCAAGAATTCAATTTTGAGTTTTTGTAAATTAAGTACGGCTCCTTTGTCAGCCGGCAGCCGGATAAATTCTATCAGTGATGGGTAGAAACAACAAAGCTAACTTTCAAAATTGGCAGGTAAAGCTCATTGAAATTTCCTGCGAGGCAAGATTAGCAGACGACACAAATTCTCGAAATTACATCTGCTGCATGGAGGATGTTATTTGGTCTATTCCAAAAATTGAAGGCATGATGGCAATTTGCACAGCCTCCTTACCCCTTTTCCTTTTTACAATTTCTACTTTCTCAGAACGTTCCAGTCAGAAAGCGTTGATTTTGTCATGAATTTTATGTACGGAAATCTTAGGGAGGGAGGCAGGTGTCTAACTTTTAAATTTTGAAATTTGTTACATGTTTTTTTAAAGTTAAGTCATAACATCCTTTACTAGTCGGCAAGGGATTTTGCCATGCTAAAGAGAAACGCCATATGAGCCTCCAGGCGTTGCCAAATTTCCTTTAAAAAAATACGGATTTCTTGGTACGCTTATGAATATTTTCTTCCCGTTTCACATTAAATTTTGTTCGCAATCTCACCTAAATTTCAAGGAAGAATATTTATAACGTTTATCAAAAATAAACATTTTATCGAAGAAATTTGGTAACTCTTGAATGTTCATACGGGGTTTTTCCTTAGTACGCAGCATTAGTAGATGTCGTTTCTTATCCCAACTCAGTCTTAGTGCGTCTGCTGGTGATGCTTGATTTGGCATGTCGGCCGTCGAAGGTTTTTCGGCGGCAAAAGAGGTAGCGGTCGAAAAGGCTCCGAAAGGTGTCGCTGATGAAATAGAGGGCAATGGGGTTGATGCAAGAGTTGATGAAACTGAAGCTGAAGCCGACAATCTTGAGCACATGCCAAAAGAGATTGTAGTCGCAATTTGATGTCGGGTGAAGGTAGTACCACAGCATGTAGATGTGGTATGGTAAGAAGCACAGGCTGAAAATTATCACGAAAATCAGCACGATCTTTGCCACCTGCGACACAAAAATTTCGCGAGATTATTTAGGGCCTCAACTATTCACACTGTCACATTGAGAGTGGATTACTGAGAGAACAACTCGTCACCTTCCGGCCGAAGTATCGCAAGCGCCAAGCGACAATTCAAAATTTCCGCCGCCATCTTATTTTTTTACTGAGAAATTATTGATTGAATCTGTTCAAAAATTTCACTGAATTTTATCGCCAGTACAAAGAAAATTCAGTGAAATATTCAACAGCTTCGTCGATCAGTTTCTCTGTAAAAAAATAAAATGGCAGCGGAAATTGTGGAACGTCGCATGGCGCCTGAGATACTTTGACCAGAAGGTCTGAAGAATTAGATTAAACTGTAGAACTGTTAGAACTGTAGAATAAGATTAAACTTATCTCTGGAAGTGCGAGAAATTCTGACCCACTGTCAATATAGAGGCAATTTAAAGTATTAGGCGGGAAATGGTAAACATTTGTGAGTTTCCGTGGGAAAAAGACTTCAGTCGGATTCACAGAAATTCAGCATTGAGTTATTAACACCCACGAAAGCGCGGAGGAGTGATCTGTAAACATTTCGAACCCAAAAAACAAAAAAATTGCATCAAATCGGAGTTAGGTACGACGATTTAAAGTTCGTAGTTCGTAGTAGAAGTCTGCAGTGTTCAGAGCACGAATTTGTCGTGTTTTCCCGTTTTTCCCCCTCGAACTGAAGTTTTTTGTGAGGAATGTTTTGCTCAATCTTTTAACAGCGATCTTATTATTCTAGCTGTTACTCTCGTTCAGAGAACGAGAAATCGCGGAACACGCGCCTAGTGTCCCTGTTTTATGAAGGACAAAACGCCTTCAAATCTGTGATTATGCAACACGCACATTCATTAAGCACGAATAGTTGCATCCAGATATTGCATGAAACTATGAAGGCGCCCAGTTCACGTGTTCTCATTGATGAAAAACTTCAATGGGATAAGAAATAATTAAGCATATGTATGGTATCTCAACATCTCTGCTCCCATTTTATTTTTTAAATACCTCCATAATTTCACAACGAAAGCACTACCCTTGTAGTAAAGGCTTGTGAAAAACTGGTAAAAAATAAACAAATAAAATAATTAAAAGAATTTGTGAAATGAAGATGCGCAACACGCAAGCACTATACTCGTAAAAAAACGATTCAAGTCGACATATTTGGAGTCATTCTTGGAATTTTTAACGTAAAAAACTTGAGAAAACTCATGTAAAATAGAGCTGCTGCAGAAAACAATTTTTTATCGGTTTTTCACAAGTTTTTCAAAATACAAGTATTGATTCCTAATCCGTCATCTAAAATCCATTTTCCACGTGCTTAATATTCAGGCGTTGTGCATCTTTATTTCACAAGTTCCAAAATTTTTTTTACGAGTTTTTCACGAGCTTCTGCCACCAGGATACTGGACGGACAGCGAACTGAATTTTGAAATTTATAGACAAAGCGATATACAAAGAAGACATACGGAGTATGGAGGGATCCTATTGGTTGAAATGAGTGGTTCCAATAAACCAAGGGAGGAAATGATGAACTAACTTTAGGGTTGCTCGTGGGTTGCTGTTATAGTTAGTCTTTTACTTAGCTTTTATGTCCATTGCAATCACCCGCTGCCACAAATAGGACCCCTCCTTATCCACTTTGTTCTCTTTGTCTCTTGCGTTGTCTATCAGTTTCAACAATCAGCCCGGAGGACTGCGGGCCGATTATTGAAATTTACAGACAAAGTTATAGACAAAAAGGATATGGAGGGATCCTATTGGTGGAAGCGGGTGGTTCCAATGGACAAAAAAGGTAGGCAACAGACTTACTAACGGCAACTGTCACAGGTATCCAAATCCCTGCAACTTGCCTTTTTTTTAAACTTCTAAATTTTCTTTAATATTTCTCCAATTCATCTCAGATGGCTGGATTTGTTCATTTTCTCTATTTTTCAATCCAATCTCCCAGTCATCTCGTATAATGTCCCATTATTCTAATTACCAGACTTGCAACTGATAGCTCCACTGATTATAGCCAGCCAATGGCGTGTAGACTTGTTGTCTCACCACCTGTGACGTCAGCAAGTCTATAAAAGCTTGTGCTGCCCTAAAATCTAGGTCTGTCTCTTAACACCGAGGTCTATCTCTCCGTGCCCGAGGTCTGTCTCTCTACATCTACCTCTTCGGGCCACCTCTCAACATCTCTTATTCAGACCCATACTTTACACTGTGTGAATCATTTGTAAAATTGTGTTTTATTCAAAGTTCGTTAATACAAATTATTGGTGCATCTTAAATCTTCGACTTCAGTTCTTGCTCTCCCACAATCATTGCTCTCCCACAAACTCTCAGCTATTTTAGTGTCGAACTCTAAATTCTAACATGATGTCAAAATCCATGCCTTCTTTATGACATGGTGCCTCACTCTTTATGACATGGTGCCTTCTTTATGACAGCAACCCACGAGAGACCCGATAGTTAGTCCATCATTTTCTCCTCTAGTCTATAGGAACCACCCACTTCAACCAATAGGATCGCTCCATACTCCATATGTCTTCTTCGTCTATAGTTTTGTCTATCAATGGACCACTAGACAAGGCACGAATTCAAGCATTCTGATACATGTTTCTTAATCAGAATTTCACGTAGAACACAATGCGCGCAACGAAAATTACTGAAACTAACTCCTGACGAAGATATTAACCTTTTTATCTCACATTGGTTACGCGGATTTTGAACTGCCCGCTCACAAGAAACTCAAAGCTCTACGTGAGTCAAAGCGCGCACTACAACAGTTTCAGCAAGCCTCTCAATCGAGCACTGTTCATTTCCCACCATGTGTTGTTCAAATGATAAGCAACTTGCTATAGTTGAGCCAAAGCGTCAAAATTGTGGTTGCCCGATTTTCATATCGCAGAGAATGTCACGATAATATTCAACGCGCGATGTGAATCACGTAGAGCATGGAGTTTTATTGAGCGGGTGGTTTGAATTCACGCATCAGGAATCATTAAATGGACCGCGCGTTTAACAGAAAGGAACCAAGCCACATCAGCTATTGCCAAATTCAATTGGGCAATTTAATTTTTTACGAGAAAATGTTCGTGTGGATTCCTTTGAAAATTTTAAGGAATTTGCTTTCTACTGTAGAGAAAATCCACTGAAATTTGCACGAAAATCCGTACATCCGTTTTCATGTAAAAAATAAAATTGCTCGATTAAAGGCGATGGCCGATGTGGCTTGGTTCCTTTCTGTTTAACGCGGTCCAAATATCTTCGTAAGGAGTTGATTTCGGTAATTTTTGTTGTGCGCATCGTGTTCTACGTTAAATTTTGGTTAAAAAACATGTATCAGAATGCTTAAATTCGTACCTTGTCTAGTGGTCCATTTCAACGATGAGCCCGGAGGACTGGAGTGATTGATGCTGGCTCACCTTTTTGCGTGCCTGGATCTGGGCGTGCTGTCCCTGGATCTCGCCGGGGATGTTCCTGGCGCTGTTGACGAGGTGGCGGGCGATCTTGACGTAGTAGGCGGCGATGACGCTGAGCGGGAGGGCGTAGAAGACGAGGCACTTGAACACGACCAGCGGCTTCCCGTAGCTTACCCCGCCCACCGCCGGGAACGGGTCGCAGAACGCCACGCTCTCGTTGTTGGCGTCCGGCAGAGCGTGGACCCGCGAGAACACCGCCGAGGGGATGCTGAAACCACAGGACATGCGTGAGTGCGTCAGGGTATACACTGAAAAACAAGTCACGGGCTATTTAGACATGCCGTCCGTTATGGGTTATATAGACATACCGTCCGTTACGGGATATTTGGACCGCGTTTAACAGAAAGGAACCAAGCCACACCAGCTACTGCCAAATTTAACTGGGCAATTTAATTTTTTATGAGAAAACGTTTCTGTGGATTCCTTCGCAAATTTTAAGGAATTTGCTTCGTACCAAGGAGAAAATTCGCTGAAAGCACGAAAATCCGCACAACCGTTTTCATGTAAAAAATTGAATTGCCATATTAAATTTGGCAATAGCTGATGTGGCTTGGTTCCTTTTTGTTCAACGTGGTCCATTTGGACGGAGTTAAACAGAAAGGAACCAAGCCACATCGGGATCGAACCGAGAAAAAGAGGCTTAAAGTTTAGCTCCTGCATAAGACTCAATGTGAAAGATAAACTTCAAGTTCAATTTCTGCAAAATTTGCTCCAACAAAAACTTTGAATTTTTGGCGATAGATAGTAGAGCAGTGGTTGAGTTCAAAACCACTTATAACTCAATTTTTTCCAAAATGTGGGTTGGTTCCTTTCTGCTTAACTCAGTCCATTTAGTCATACCGTTCATTTCGGGCTATTTATACATTCTGTCCGTTCCGGGCTCAGAGACCGAAAGTTCCGGGTGCTACACCCGGAACGTAGACGGTATGTTTATCTAATCCGTAAGCATGGCTTCCTGGGCCTGAGTTTTTTTCAGTGTAGAGGAAAAAGAGGTGGTGGTTGCGTTTTTAGTGCATTTTCCGAAGAAAATATGTATTCTATTTTTGAGGATTTGTTTCCCCCTTGACGCAAGTATTGATATGTTTCAAATTACTGATGTGTATGAATGCTGGCATCATGCTCGCATCGTTGAATGCATAAACCAAGCGCTGAACTATTCTGTCTCCGAGGTAGGCATGTGATGTGGTATCACGCGAAGCTGAAGGAAAAATATTAGCATTTCACCTGTCCTAAAATACCGACCTTAACGAACGTAGACATTGTTCCCGCATGGTTAAATGCGCACGGTTCGTTTTAAAAAATTTTAATTTTTCTGAAGACCACCCGCGATTTTTTTTTATAAAAGTGTCAAGGAAGGTTTCTAGATTAAGGTATTGAAAACCGCAAAATCGTAAGTGGGGCCGTTTTTTTTATTTTCGACTTTTTCTATTTTTAAGGGTGCAATGGCGGCAAAAGCCAATGTATGACCACTAAAACCCCCAGCCATCTAGTCAAATTAAGTTAAAATTTTATGTATGTTAGTCCTTGACATGTAAATGGGTGCCCTCAAAAGTTTCAAACCCTCCCTGAAAGAACTGCACCACCTTATGCGGTGTTGCGAAGTTACGTACCCGATAATGACGCGACTGACGGGGCAATGTAGATTTTGAGTTGCGATCATCACCAAAACTTATGATAAACAATAAAGTAATACCGCTCGCCTAGCAAGAGCACTGAAGAATCTCCCGTCGTCACATGACAAACTTTTTAAACCGTGTAAATGAAACGTCTGTAAACATCCGTGTACATCTGTCAAATAATTACTAGAGTTGGACAGAGTAAAGTGCAAAGGGATGAAATAATAGTCTGCAGTGCCTGTATGTACCTCTAAAAGAAAAAAAGTTTACTCGTCAAAGCAGAATTCTCTCGACGCACAGTGTGGCATCCATATGGATGATGCGGACAAAAATCGGTAAAAGACACTCAACTTAAAATAAGACATATATAGTTAGCCTTGCATTTATAAGAAATGCCGACCGCCGCGCCGAGGGCTTCTTTTTATCTCAAGTCCTCGTCATCACTGCTCTCTTCGCCGCGCTGCGCTGTCTCTTTTTGCAATTTCAAAAAACGAAAATATGGCAACCGAGCATGTTCTTATCGAATAAGATTTAAATGTATCCCCACATTGTATAATGGTAAGGGTTTTCATAAGTTTTGGTGATGATCGCAACTCAAAATCTACATTGCCCCGTCAGTCGCGTCATTATCGGGTACGTAACTTCGCAACACCGCATAAGGTGGTGCAGTTCTTTCAGGGAGGGTTTGAAACTTTTGAGGGCACCCATTTACATGTCAAGGACTAACATACATAAAATTTTAACTTAATTTGACTAGATGGCTGGGGGTTTTAGTGGTCATACATTGGCTTTTGCCGCCATTGCACCCTTAAAAATAGAAAAAGTCGAAAATAAAAAAAACGGCCCCACTTACGATTTTGCGGTTTTCAATACCTTAATCTAGAAACCTTCCTTGACACTTTTATAAAAAAAAATCGCGGGTGGTCTTCAGAAAAATTAAAATTTTTTAAAACGAACCGTGTGCGCAAATTTAACGCGCAAATATTCCGACTTCGGAGAAGATGTGTGATGTGGTATCGTGCAGATATGAAGGAAAATCTTAGCTTTACGCCTATCTCAAATTACTAACATTTATGGGTGTAGGCACTATGCTTGCATCGGCATGTGCCGTATGTGTATAAATCAGATAAGACGCGCAACTATTCGAAAGGTGTAGTAGGTATGTGATGTGGTATCACGCGAGAATGAAGGAAATTCTCAGCTTTTTCACCTTTATAATTTAGCGTCATATCCTCGCAAAAGTTGAAATTTAAAGCCTGAAAAACAGACCAATGCATCCTTTTATTGCTTTGTTCGACGAGGAATATAATTTCAAACACTTCATAATTTTTTTTCCCCAACAAATCACACAATTTTCAAGAAAATCGATGACAAACAGCGTCTGTACCTTCCTACGTCATCGACGGATTCCAAGATGCCCGAATCGTGACCACCTTGGTGGAAATGAAGCGTGGGGTCTAGAATCGGATACACACTTCTTAATAGCAACGGAATACTATTTTTTTTAAAAAAAAAAAAATTTTAAAAAACTTGTACATACATATCAAGCCGCTAACTCAGCGCACTAGAGCGCTCTGCGACTCCAAATCGCCATCGAAATCGATCCTCCCACAAGTCATCAAAAAAACTTGTACTCTTTTAAAAGACAACTCTTAAAAATCTGTTAAAATGTTTCGTTTCAGAAAACCCTCATAGAGTTTTTTGTAAGGAACATTTACGAGAGGTAGAAGTTATGATTTAGCGAATTTAAGTGAGCGTGAGTTATTTCTCAGAAATCTATAAGACCGTATCCTCAAGTAGAGGCGTTTTTGAGAGAAACGTGAAGAAGCAAACTGTGAGGTGTTACCGTCGATCATTGGCATCCTTTATATTTTTTCTTCTCATGAAACATAATAATATTAAATTCGATAGTAAACAAGACTTGATGTAGGTTTTGTGAACCGCTCAGAAACGGCCAAATCTTAACTCTAAAATTTTGGAGAAAAAATTATCTGGAGTCAAATTTCGAAATTTCTTGTTAAATTCTGAGATACTTTTTGAAGGTTGCACATGCAGCCCCTTGAAAATAGACGGAACTCCATCCAAAATGAAGTTTCCTGGAATAGAGTAGATGTCATGACTATCCGCTAAAATTGGACTACACATTACAATCAGGAACTACCTACAGTTTCTGACTCCATTTAGAAACAACGCAAGTGCCATTAGTTTCCCTATGCACGTACGTGTTTTTACGGATGAGCCAGGAACCGCAGTTATTCGAATTGCAGAATGAAGTTCAATTGGACCGCGTTTAGCAGAAAGGAACCAAGCGAAGGGTCTCAGGACATTTCGTCAACGAATTTTTGTCCGCGGACCTGATTTGCCCAGTTGTTTACGTCCACGCGGAAAATAAGCAACAATGACTTGGTCCAAGTGTTATAATTAGTCTGCATGTAAAATTATATTGACAGTATCGAAATGAGAAAATTGAGAGGGAAAGAAGGTGTTGTTAAAGTGACTCATTTTTTCCATGAAACGTTACTTTCTTCTTTTGATTCATTGTTTTAAATTGTTATTGGTGAATATTTGGTTTCATTTCTATGCTGAAAATTTTTGACATAAAATTAACCTTATGAATAAAATAGGAAAACAAAATCAAGAAGCACGCAACCTACGGTTTTAACCCTTTTGTACATAGATATTTTAGAGTCAAGTACGTCAAATTTTCAGCGTTTGGTTGCGCGTACACCACGCTGCAGAACACTAAGAGCACACAATATAAAAGAGAAAAATTAAAGTGCATTGGAAATCATTAAACAGGTCGCGTTAAACAGAAAGGAACCAAGCCACATCAGCTATTGCCAAATTTAATAGGCTAATTTAATTATTTACATGAAAACAGATGTGCGGATTTTCGCTCAAATTTCAGTGAATTTTCTCCACAGTACGAAGAAAATTTCCTCACATTTTCAAAGGGATCCGCACGAACGTTTTCTCGTAAAAAATTAAATTGCCCAATTAAACGTGGCAACAGCTGATGTGGCTTGGTTCCTTTCTGTTAAGCGCGGTTCAAATTTGACACGGAACCACCTTAATTTCTACATAACACACATTATATTTTCTATTGTAATTTAAATGAGAATGATCCACGCAGAGTGTGTAAACATTTCAAAATCATGAGTTGAAAAACGCTGACTCCGCGATTTTAAATATTAGAGCGCAACACAGAGCGGAGCAGTGCGGTGTGCTGCCAGCAGAAACGCGCACGGGCGCCTACAAACCTAAGGGGATACTTCACGCATTGCGCAGTGCTGGAAGTATCCCCTTAGGTTTGTAGGCGCCAAAGCGCATTCCGCGCTGACCGCCCGCCCGCCGCACCGCGGCATGCCGAGGTGCCTCAAGCAACTATTTTACAACAGAGGTGTTGCTCAGTACCATACAGAATTGAAAGCCATCCAACATATCAAGAATGTCAGGCATCCTTCAAGGGTACGAAGCTTTCCTCGCAAAATACAACAAGGTACTACAGCACAAAAAGAGAGCGGTAGTCCAAGAACGCACCAAGTCCTAGCATCCGTATTTACATACCTATCCGTTCAGCATATTTTTTTAATTTCATTAGGGATTTAGTGATTTGATGTCAAACATCGCCTTTTATTGATTGAATTACTTAAACCAAAGCGACGTTATATTGAATTTCTTTATTGCTGAAAGCCTTTTCAACCTGGTGGTCATTATCAGAGCAAAATTTACACATTTTACACAATCACAAAATGTGCAACAACTTTTTTTAAACAAATAAATTTATTAAAATTCATCGTAACTATTATGAAGCCGACACTCTAAACACACTTAGCGACACTCACGCCACTCTTAAAAGAAATTCAATATTACATCGCTTTAGTTTATCAATTCAATCAATCCATTAGAGAAAGAAGTGACGCGATTTAAACAGAAACGTTGTTGAATTTTTTTCGTCAAGAAGATTTTATTTTGAATCAAAATAAAATAGCTGAATGAAAGCCGCTTTCTGCTTGATGTATGTGACTTCCCTTTTCATATAAGCATATTTTCCTCTTTAAACAAGCATTATTTTCCTTATTGATTCATAAGAAAATCTTCTCGGCGGTAAATTTGAGCATATTCCTGTTTGGATCAAGTACCACTTTTTCCTCTAATAAAGTCAAAAATCATGCTAAACGTTATTGAATACAGATACTAGGACTTAGTAAGTATTTGAATACCGCTCCCTTTTTGTCATCATCACTCGATTTAGTTTGCGTGGACGTAAACTACTAGAAAAAACAGGTGCAAGGACAAAATATCGTTGACAAAATGTCCAATCAACATCAATTATTGTCAAGCTTAACTGGACAATTTTATTGTTTACAAGAGAAAATTCGTTCGGATTCCAAATTTTAAGAAATTTGCACAAAAATCCGCACAACTGTATTCATGTAAAAAATTGAATTGCCTAATTAAATTTGGAAATTTTGGTGTCGGCCTCCTATGGTGTAGTGGTTGTAGCGCTAGCTCTAGATCGGGAGGTCCCGGGTTCGACTCCGGCTAGGGACCCGAGTTTGATGGTCTCCAATAATGGTTGCCTCGGACTGGTTGTAGGGACAGAGGGGGGACGGGACTAAAACGGAGGATGGACCCTTGTGGGCTACTTGAAGTAGAAAAAAAAGAAGAAAAAAATAGCTGGCTGGGTTCTTTTCTGCTTAACGCGGTGCAATTGAAATTCCATTTGCATGCCCGATACTCGGCTTCAGATCCTAACCTGAAAATGATGGAGATGAGCCATATGACGAGGACCATAACGATGGTCCAGGTCCTGGAGGACAGGTGCCTCTTGATGGGGTCGACGATGATGTAGTACCTCTCGGCGGAGAGGGCCGTCAGCGTGAAGACGGAGACGCCGATGGAGATGTCCTTGGTGGTCTCGGTGAGGCGGCAGATGGCGGGGCCGTAGGGCCACTCGTCGAAGGTGTAGATGGTCGTGGTGAAGGGGACCGCGCAGACGATGACGAGGAGGTCGCCCAGGGCCAGGTTCACGATGTAGATGTTGGGCACGTTGCGCATGAAGGGGTGCCGCGCGAAGATGAGCACGAGCGTCCCGTTCCCGAGGAGCCCCACCAGGAAGATGAGGCCGAACACGATCGGGACCGTCAGTTTCGTCGCCGCGATCACTGCCGTCGTGTCCGACTCCGGCGACTCGGTCCCGTTCACCGCGTCCACTGCAAGCAAAGAGCATCCGGGGATGTAGACGAATAGAGAGGGATACATGGATAGAATAGCTAGGCATATTGCTGTCCGAAAATAGAGTACCTGTATAGCGGGAGTATCACAGATGTGAAACTCCGAAAATCCATCAGGCCTTCACCGATGCCTCCGCGAATAAAGTTAGGGCCCAGAAATGCAGCCAACCTATGAATTTCAATTGGATTGCATTTTGCAAAAAGGAACCACTAGCATTGCAATGATGCTAAGATTGTGCAACTTCATCTTTTGCAATAAAATTGCGGAAATCGTAAAAAACTATGAAATTTAGATGGTAATTTTTGTCCTAAATTTACAGTTTTTAGCGAGTAAAATAGAAACTATTGATGGATAATCGGGTTTTTCCTCCAAGACAAAAGAAGTTGTACAATCTTAGCAACATTGCAATGCTAGTAGTTCCTTTTTGCAAAATGCAATCCAATTATCCAGAGCGATTTATTAATACAATTGTTACGAACCATCGTTTATAAAGCACGTATTTGACTTAGTTTTTGCATAAATTTACTCATTTTTGTGGAAGAACGCTCATTTATGTACTTTCTGAGCCATCTTCGTTAGAATTGGAATCTACAGACTGGCAGTAAAATTTTGTGCGTTAGAAGTTGGTTAGAAGGGTGGCTGCACTTTTGGGCCCTAAGCCCTCCATTAAGCGATCTGTCCATACTCTCGCTATACAGGTACTCTATCCGAAAATGGACCCTTCAGACAAAGATTATCTTTAAACATTATGGTGTTAATCGGAAACACAGGAAAATGCGGAAACAAGGCTAAATTAAAAAATACACAGGCAGGCCGTTTCGGTACCTTACAGCACCATTATCAACTGCTAGAATAGAATTAAAAATAAAATGAAATTAAAATAAAAATCCAACAAACGGCGTTACATGATGAAATTGGTATTGGAATGAGCCTTCGATGAGCAATTTCACCATGTGACGCCGTTTGTTGGATTTTTATTTTGATTTCTTTTTATTTTTAATTCTATTTTAGCAGTTGATAATGGTGCCGTATGGTACCGAAAGGTCCTGCCTGTGTACTTCGTATTTTAGCCTTGTTTCCGCATTTTCCTGTGTTTTCGATTGTCGTTTCCGTTGCGGGCTGCTTCTTCATATCTCTTTGTTGCCATTATGGTGTCCTAGGGAGTGTCCCCCTGGCCGCTATGCGGCCCAACCCCTATAGGGTCCTGCGCGCCCTCCAAGGTTCGCTGTGCAGGCCCCCGTGAGTTAAGATGATACATCACGGGTTCTGGTGTGCACGAACCGGCGTGCAATACATCGCATTATTTGTTACACTACGTTTAAAAATGTTGAAGCGAGACGTCTGGTACAATCAAATCTACCGCTCCAAGAGTCCCTAGCCAACCTTTAAAATTTTATAAGGTTATAACCTCGTCAGCGAAAGGTTTTAAGCAACTCGGGTTATGTGTTAGTTTTTGTATCAGGTGATTTTGAAGGCGCTTCATGAGCATCCATAAACCCAGTGAAGTCAGAGTTGTACAGCTTGCAGCTAACAAAAATATTGTCTTTGGATAGAATTTTATCTCACAGTGAAAACTGAGTTCTTTGCCTATGTCCTAGTCCTCTTTTTTAAACATAAATCGAAAAAAAAAATTATTTGAGATAAATAATTGTTTGTAAAATAAAATAAATCCTCTCGAGCAATAAGGAGACCATGATTTTTTATTTTAAATTAATAAGACGAAGTAAACATTTTTTCATTGGGACTACACTTGATTTGTGTAAATTACAAAATTTTTAGTTCGACTCTCTTTCAGGTATACTTACCTATTTCAATTAAAGTAATTTTGTGCTAGTGAGCACCGGTAAATTTTTGTTATTTTTGATAAGATGTCATTCATCATTTTATATTTCAACCTAAGGCTATAGCTCGAGAGATGAGTGAATTTGGAGAAAGTACAATGATACAAAAATCTTATTTTAGCAGAAAGACTGAGCTTTTGAAACGCTCATTTTACGTGCGATGCTAAATCACGGTATATTCCCCTTGCGGAGAAAAGGACCATCTCTTTATCAAACATTCTGAGAACATTAGTGTGAGACTATTGTACTCACTTTGACACGAGGTATCCGATTCCATTGGTTCCGCTCTTGAGGTTTAGATTCCTGATAGATTCCCGCTAACACCCTCAGCTGGCCCTTTGCATGCTCTAAAGATCGAACTATGCGGTTGCAATCACGACTGGTTCAATGCGTTGCGTTTTCCATTGTTCCGTCGCCGCTTTTGAGTGTGTGGTCGAAAATTCGAGGAAGAGATTTTCCCTGTGACAGTCCTCAGCTGCACCTAGAATCTCATTAATTCAGAAATCGCCCTCGGGTTGAATGGGACACAACTCAATCGAAATTTGGTGGAAGTTTAAATTAAATGACGTCCCCTGGCCCCTGAGCACGTAATGATTATCCCATAAGTTACCATAGCTAAGTTTTCCCACTTTTCTATGATCTTTAATTAAGTAATTTACCAATTTTTATGTGTCAGTTTCAAATTATAAAAAGTAGAATAATCTTATTTATTTATTTCTTTATTGTTTTGTTTGTTTCGCCGGTCGGTAAATTATTGGGAGTTGAGTACAGTTTTTTTCTGGACTTTTTTCTTAACTACAGACGTGAGGGTTTTCTCTAATTACTCTCCAAGGAACAAGCGAGTCAGTTCGAAGGGTTCTTTGGCTGAAATTGTTTTCAAAACTCAAAAAAAATTTCAATTTTTTGAACTTTCAAAAATGCTCTCGTCTATAGCCAGAAAAAATTCCAAGGGGGAAAAAAATTAAAACCTATCGAGTAGAATGTGAAAAAAGTTTGCCTTACCATCAGTACATTATGAAGATAGGAACTCATGTCTTTCGTGAAATTTTTACCTTATCTAGTGGTCCATTCATTTCATCATTAAAGAGCTTTCCGGAAAAAGGACACATAGCAAAAAATCGCTCATGAGAAAAATGAATCTTAAGTTTCCATCATTACTTTCCGGTCACTGATGATAACTTACTTCGCAGCTTGGACTCCCGATTTCGATCGTAAGGCACAGTCAGTGGCCATAGAATAATGATGGGAACTTCAAATGCATTTTTCTCAAACGCCATTTTTTGCTGCCCTTTCCCCGGAAAGCTCGTCAATTCTGTTTAGCATAAATACGTCCATTTGCAGCAGTATCTTTCCACTCACCTTCGTATCGAAGACCGCGACTCTTCCCGGAGCAAAAAATCCGAAATCAAAATCCAGCCTGAATTCCCACCGACGACCAACTGAACGCGTCAACTTTCGAGGAGAGCATTTCCACACTTTCATGGAGACGCAGTCGCGGTCCAAGTGGAGATCCGTGCAAATACAACCGGGGAGGAAATAATGGTTTGTTGACCGAACGATCGTTAAGCTGTTGACAAGATGAAAGACCGCTGAGCCTTTGAGCGGGTCGTCTGCAACGCTCTTCAATTTGAAGGCTCGCCCGCCGTACTACTAAGGAATAACGCCGTAAGGACATTCAAATGTTGTCGAGTCTCTTCCGATAAAACGTGTATTTTTGACGCTCGTTATGAATGTTTTCCCCTAACATTTTCAGGTACTCTAGATCAAATTGCGAATAAAATTTACTGTAAAATTGGAAGACAAATATTCACAAGGGTCCCGTAAAATCAGTATCTCAACAAAGGAAATTTGGCAACGCGTAAAGGCTCCTACGGTGTTTTCTCTTAGTAGGCAGTCTTGATCTGAGGACCCGAACTCGACCCGACCACAATCTCCTCGAGTACCATCAACCGTGGCGAGTTCATTCATAGTCGCAGTTTTAACACCCGTGCGATTGTAACTGCGAGAGTGACGTTAGAAGGGCCTGTTGCAAACTTTTGCTAGAACAAGAATAAGCGTTGTCTCTCATAGAAAACTAGGGGGCTACGCCCCCTGGCCGCTACGCGGCCCAACCCCCTGAAGGCGCTCCGCGCCATCAATGGGCCGCTTCGCGGCCCTCTTTTTACCCTCCTATCAGTGTTAGTTTTATTTTTCCCCTAAAAAATTACGATATGAGGTATACTTTAATTTTAAACTTTACTTAAAATTACTTTAAAATTAAAAGGACGCGTTTTGGAATGACTGCTTGATGAAATATTGCAGTAAAACAATGAACAATGATAATCAGGTTATCAGTAAGATTCCATGAGTCGGGGATCGAACCTACACTGTGTTCAAAGTGGACGCATTCGACGACTTAGACGACTCGGCCACTGCTCAGCGTGAAATTACTGGCGCGAATCTTGTGTAGATAAGTGTAGAGCTGATGCGCAGGCTACACAGCTACTGCGCAACCTCCTCGACCACTGCGCATCCTCCCGCGCATAGCGGTAGCAGTACCGGAGCATTCTGTAAACTCACTCAATTTTATAACGTGATTTTAAAAAAATCTGGGTCCTTTTTCCAAAATCTGATTACAGCGGGCTCATCTAGGGCCTATTACCTGTCGATTTACGCAAAAATCATGGAAATCGGCCCGGTAGAACGCTCAAACGAACTATGACAAAAAGTATAAATTTACATTGTTTAAATAGGAGAATTCGCAACTTTACCACGTAATATAAAAAAACCTGGGCCATATTTTGAAAATCTGAAAAGAGTTGGCTTATCTAGAGACAAGTGCCCGTCGATAGCCGCAAAAATCATGAAAATCGGCCCGGTAGAACGCTGGAACTAAGCGTTACCAGTTTCGCAAAATTAGGAGGTCTCGGAGCTTATAGTATAGATAGATGGGTCAAAATTACGATGAGCGCATCGGCAAACTCTGAAATACACTCCTCCTAATTTCACAATTTGCGTAAGGAATTTGCGTAAGGAATTTGCGTTTTTTTCAGCTTCTCGCCTCAAAAACGATACCACAGCACAGGTGAACATTTCGTTAGAGGAATCGTTTCATTCAACCCTTGCGTACTAAAATGTTTTGCAACACTCAACATAACCGACGCTATCAAGCCGGATATTTATCAACGCGAGGCGAAAAACGTGAAT